AGCCAAGCAGTTCCTAATATAGACCCCTGGGTACATGTGTATTGTAACACTGTTGACTGCCTATAGATACCTAGAGTGGCTGATTTACTTTTCCCTCTTGATTCAATTAGATCCAGGTTGCTAACCACCTGTAGCAATGTAAACCAAAGGCAGATTGATACCTTGATAGTCCAGTGTGTATTAGGTTGCTTTTTTATCAACATATTGGCCATTTCTGTATTTGAAAAGTAGCATTTGTGTGAAAATGGACAACAGAAAATGACATCAATCACAGGTTTGTGGTGTCACAGGCCTCTTCATTGAATACAGAATGACATTGTACAGGTAGTGATGTGGATATTAAATTGGATCTATCAGCATAAATACTGCCCACATTCAAGGTTACAAATATATTAGACATATTCAAAGCATGTAAAGCCCATGGTGTTTTGGCCTATTGATTCATATATGGCAAGAGTTTCACCACTAGTACGTATGGAGATATGATGAAAAATGTGTAGAACCCTCACCGGCAACAATTTAGATGACATGGTGGTACACACCAGCACCAAGCACTGAGCCTTGTGCTGTTTAATCACATTGGTGCTGTGTCATGTAATGATCATGTAATTTTGGGTAGAATGTTCTGGAAGTGCTCCAACAACATATGTGAAGTCAGATCTCACGGGTTCATGTGGTTCAACTGTGCAGTGATTTCACATCACATGCATCCTTTGTGATGATGGGATGTAAAATCACTGAGATTCAGATGAATGACTGCCATCTGTGCCACTTACCCCTTCACATTGCGTGTTGCCCATGTGATGGGAAGTATCAATAGCAACCACTACAAGTGATGAGATATGGAATCCAAAATGTGATGCATTTGAGTACAAAATGAGTTCAGGAGTGGGGCATTGTTTAAGTTTTCATTTGTATCTCATAGTATGATGCTTAAACAATGAAAAAGAGAAAGAAGAGGAATTTGATAAGAACTATCACTGCCAGCATTAAATAGGTTCCCAGGTGGGAAAATGACTTAGGCTGGGAACATGATTGAGATTAGAATGTGTCTTGAAATCATATTGCACTGCACAACTGAGCCATGAAGCATATGCTACACATGTGCAAACATCTGAGTAAATCCTTAGCTATCAGCTACATACAGATCCACTCAGTTATCTGTTCATCTGGATAAGAGAATCATATGTAATACATGTTGTAGGTTTATTCAGTTTGGGACAAGCATTTTGAAAAATTGATTACATTGGCTACTTGGCCAATATTCCTGGAGCTGTGTAACAGTAACAGAAGGGGAATCTGGTTTCTAGGAGCCATATTCCCATCCGGAAACCTCTTTAATGCTGGCGGTGTATGTTTGAACATGATCACAATACTAATAATCAGACAAGAAATTCTTGGACCAAAATGGAGGAAAAGTGCAGATCCAAAAACTCTTGTAGCTATGGGTGCTGGATATGTGCATTGTGGGGTGACCTGATAATGTACACCCAGGTAGTTGATATATCACATCCTCAGGCCCAATTCTCAGACCATGTGAAGAAGCACTGAGGAGTCTTCAGCCCCACCGGAATGCAGTGACCCAGATACCAGAATTTTCACTCTCTTAGGCCCTGAGGTGAAGCACGATGAAAACAGCTCATGGAAGTCAGTAACTAGGTATATGGGGTGTTTCAGAACAAATAAATGCAAAGCTTAAACTGATAGACCTGCAGGATTTCAAAATGAGGTAAAGATATCAAAATAGACCAGCAGTCTCTTTGCAATGAGTTGAAATAATTCTGTGATCATCAGTTTTCCAAATTTTTACCTTGTGAGTTACAATTGCATAGTTTCAAAGTGAGTTGCTTAAAATGCAAGCAGGCCATTTCACATGATCTAGGGAGTGATTCATAAAAAATATCACTCATGGACTAGGAAACTGTCACCACTGGTAGATCAGACAAAGGACTATAGCATAGCGGAATGAACATTCAAGATAAGGGTTGACTAAAAATGTACAATAGGGTCGGTTAAAAGTGTATAATAATGAGGGTTGCATAAAAATGTATGATAACGGTTACAATTGAGCTACACAGAGATATTGAGAATTGCAAAAAGAAGTGACAATGAGATTACTTCTCAGGAGCATGTTTTGGGTTCTGGCTTGTGATCAATAATCAAGTAAGAATTAACAGCTACCTGATTACTGATGTAACACTTTACTATTTCCAGCCTCTGGGTAAAAGCCTCAATAAACCAGATGAAATCACAATGCCTCAGTGTATCCTTGCTCTGCGCATACACTTCACACTAAACTATTCACATCATTCCCAGTATGACAAGGAGAAAAGAGACCAAACACATTTATATTTCTTGCCTGTAAAATTGTGGGTAAAAAAGGCTTGCATCCAGTAGTCAAGCCCCTGGCAACGAATGTAGACAACAATGCACAGCAATGTGTGTAGATATTTCATCTTTTCAAGAAAGTTAGTTGAGAGTGGTCACAGGGAAATGAACTAATCTCATGTCTATGTTCATAGTCTACTGTAATCTACTGTTGCTTTTGATCCAGGTGATTCAAAACACAAGAATATTTCATATTATCCCCTTTTTGATTGTGAATCAGGTTGAGAGTTCACTCAAGATGTTGTGTCAAAATTCTTCCTTGTATAAAGCCCATAGTTGATTCACTTGACTTTTGAACTTATATTCCAAACAGAATTCAAGTTAAACTCCTCTATAAATTTCTGTCACCAACATATAAGCTTATCAAATTTGGTGTGTTATTGAATGGCAATTGCATGTATTTGATTCCAGAAGATTTGATATTTTCAACTCAGAATTGTGTACAACGGTGTGTGGTAATGTTTCTATTTATAAAGTATCCAAACACAAAGCTGTTTCTGTTCTAGTTGTACAACTAAGTGATGATCCTTGAACTCTTTGGTTGATTTCCACTCAAAAATAATCTGACTCAAATGAGGTTAATTGTGAGTGAGTGTTTTATACTTTACCAACACGGGCTTTTTTCAACGACCTAGCTCACCTTTTCATCAATCACTGAGCTTGGTTTTAATGCATGTGATCATCTACAAAACTATGTCAGTGCATCAGATATGATGTAATGAGTAGGCTCCCTTGAGACAGTGGGGTAGTACTCACAAAGAGTCAGACTTGAATGAGAGAGATTAAATTCCCTTCTTGTTCAATGTCTTGTTTATGAGGTTACCCAGGACTTTAAGACCAATCTTTGTTTCCATCCTCTGCCATTGGTGCTCTTCAAGAGTTGGGTAGAACTTATCTTGTCTTGCTTCTTTGCTTGGAATATTGGTGTATTTGACCATGTGATCAAACAATCCTCCTCAGATGTATTTGATTGCTATCACTACACCATGTCCGTGTGGTGTTTGCCCCTTGACTAGCGCTTAGGAGTTGCCTTTGTGCCTCAAAGGCAGTCCGTGTGCGCTTGTTGTCGAGGGACTGCCACAAAGTCATGTTGATATCAATCAGTATTATCTTGATTAACTTCAAAGTTAATACATTAGATTGCAAACTTTTGATCAATCAATGGTTGACCAGAAATTGCAAGCCTAAGACGGTGGAGACATCATATATATTTAATCTTGTGTTCAATCCAATCTCTCATGGATTGATAAAGAGTGAATTACAACACAGTCAAGTGAGCAGATATTTTCAGAGGGGCACAATGTACAGGGCTTGGTATCCAAGCAAAGTTACAATTTAATCACTTTTAGTTCTTGTGATACATCCTATTCCATCACTGGTGGGTTTCAATCACATGTTCACTACAGCAATGTTGAATCACGTGTGGTTTTGAATCACTTGCTCATATGATTTCTACTTACACATTCATTATCTGGCATTCGGTCATATGCTATAATATCACATGAAATGTTGAATCACTCCATAGACATGCAGCATTAGGGCAGTTCAAGTTTGAAAAAGCACTAAAACAGAACTTTGCCTACATCAGGATGCTGCCTACAATTGTTGAAAGCTTCAAAAACTCTGGGAAAGCCCTACTTGAGGAGCACATGTATGTGCAAACAAAAGTTGAAATTCTAGAATTTGACAGCACATGGAGGCCAAAAGACTTATAATTTTACAACATCTTGGTTTCACTTGAACTCCCCTACTGAATTGCATTCCTATTATATCACATTGAAAGATTGCCATATTTTATCACATTTGCAAGTCCATTGTTTCAGTGCATACCACCAGGTGATTTAAGAATGTTGGCTGTGCAGGTGGTCTACAAACATATAATTATACTGATAATTTACAGCACCCAAGCAGATCATGAAAATCTAAGAAAGGATTTAAGAGCTCTGATTGAGCTAACCTATCATCTAGATTGTATTGCATAATTAACTCAAGTTGTTTCAATGAATATTCCCTGTGACCAAAAATTCAACAGTTGATCCCTTCTAATTATTGCATTCAGTTCTCAAAACAAAATCTTTGTCTTCAAAGGTAGCAGCATCCTGAGGGGCCTGTCAAACCCTTGCTTTGCATGCAAGAGCTGAATTTATACTTTCTAATCACAGGGCCCATTAACTCCTCTCTGGCCACCCAGAGGGGCCCCATACCCCTCTCATTGTTTTGGTTAGGACACCAAGAAAACACCCACCTGTTCCTGGGAAGGTTTCAGAAGGAGACAATTTTTTTGCAATTCAGGATGCACAGGTAGTTCCTGGAGGCTCCAGTGCATTCCAACATCTTCCATGCAGTCACTTCAGAGGTATTCCATGCAAGGTCAGATGCATTGAGCTGTACCAAAGCTGCATAAATAAGATGACTTTCTTCTGAACTTTTTTGTTTTAGCCTGAATACATCAGAGGTCAACATTTTGAGATTCCTGATGTCATCTTGATATGCAGTTTTCTTTGTCAGACCAATCTTGACCATGTTGTGGTCTGATATAAAATACCTGTACTGTTCCCCCGCCCTCAGTTTATTACCCTGCACCAACAGGTCATTGACAGGCACTGGGTAACATGCCACACTTTCTCAGGGCTTGTTGGTGTGCTAATCAACATCCACATGGGACTTCTTCAGGGTGTTTTATGAGAGATGCATCTACCCAAACAGTTGGAATTGACCCGCATGAGGTAGCCTGTCCCAATAATCCAAGTGAGACTGAGTATAGGTTGACAGATAGTTGCAAACATAATTCAAACAAGTTGTGAACAAGATCCATCAGAAATACGGACTTCCAGAGATTGGATATTGTGGGTATCAATACGGGTGTGTATGTCTATGGGTGAGATGGTCACCCTATTGTGGAAAAGTGGTAACTACTAGTGTGAAACACAAAATAATTGACCTCTTCCTAGTTGATGGGATCAAAATTGACTTAGATTTTTGCAAAGTGTTCATCAAAGATATAAAGTACTTGATGCTTTAAAACAAGAGCCAGTAGCTTTCAACAACAGCAAATATTGCTGATGTTCAATTCAAATCAAAACTGCCCCTTGCTTGTATAGAATCAGAATCAAGCCTTCACCCAAATTGAAAAATCAAATATGTTCATCACTGCAAGAACAACATTGACTGGGTTGGTTGATTTGAGTGATTATATCTGAAAGCTGTGTTTGAATAGATGATTATGATCATTGCTCTTTGTTCCTGCACTGTCAGAAAAACTTGGCCTGTCATTCTTGCTGCACATTCAGCGGACAAAAAGAAGTCAGTAGAGGAGACTGTTTCCCTTCCGCTGAGTGTGCAGCAATGATAGCAAGACAAATGTCTCTACAAATTAGCATCCATGTGAGAGTTTCAGGTCAGATAATAAATTGACCAGAACAAGATTTGAACCCGTGACCTTGGGACCAGCTGAGACCCATGATAGAATGTTGCCTTTACCACTAGGCTACCCAGTTGTCTGCTAGAAGTAATGGCCATGCATCCCCATGTATGTGTACGGAGAGTACAAACTGGGATAGGACCAGTTTGGTGTGATGTAGTCAATGGGGACATCTTGAATTTTGCCCTCAATGTTTGCCAGCACGTGTTTGAAGAACCCGCGCCTTGTTCATCCTTTGCAGGATAAATGTTATCCATGTTGAGCTAGATCAGTGACATGTACAAATTAAAAAACACACCAAATGGAAAGAAACCGACCAAATTTCATGAGCATCACTCTCGTAAGTCAGTTGAGAGCCATCAATCAATTCTTCATTTGAGTTTGAGTGTTTCAAGTTTAAAGTCATCCAATTCAGAGTGTTTGTCTACCAATATTTGTTTGGATCTGATCAGAGTGGTACACACCCTCAAAAAAAGAACACTGATTTCACTCGGAACCTATAACAAAGCTTCTAAGATGAGGAAAGGCACATATCTGCCAAATGAAATCATGCTAGTGAGGGCAAGAATCAATACAGGTTGAGTTGCAACCATTCAAAGATGAAGTGGAAACTTACCTGAGGAGGATAAGACCAATTTGGTTGGCAAATCCACTGTTAGTAGACAGTAAGGTATCTCAGGTTGTAGTTTTTTGAGGGACTAGGTACAACTGCATTTTCAATGATACCTACTAGGTCAAATGGGATGTTGATGAACATCCTGTCATTTTTATCACGACCTGTTGCAATCCCTCTAGACAAATCATCTGCTATGTTATCATCTGTTGTTACTCTCATCGGGTGAAAATTCAGATCGTGTTGGATTGATAATTTCTGGATAACTTTCCATTCATTGTTCACTTCTTGATATTGAGATTTTTTATTTCAAATGACTCCTTCCGCTGTGGTGTTATCCGTCCAAACTATCAAGTTTTGACCTTTTAACACTTTCATTTCTAGCAACATCAAAAATCCCATGTGAATTGTTGTCGTCTCCAACCATGCTATGGTCCGTTTCAATCTACCACTGGATTCCCATCCTGGTAGCACTTTGAACTGACACCACCTTCTTCCAACTAGAACACCTATTCTGAAAGACGTAGAATCATCACCTACCCATTCAATGTCCTTTGGGGTCCCAGAAGCTATTAGTCTCATGTTCTTGAAATTGTTTAACGTTTCCAACCAGAAATTTAAATCCTCTATTACATCTGAATTCATTTTCCCCTTTGCAAATTTGTTAACCTAATCTTTCTTCATTCTGTATAAACTGTTCAGGTAACATCTCAGCTGTGGTAGTATATATGTAACATGGTTCAACCTACCAACAAAAAACTTCTAACTCACCGTAAGTTATCTCTACATCTTGAACTAAGTATTCTGTTACTTGCTCTTTCCGTTGTGATAACGTATTTTCTGGTAACCAAACAGTTTTTTTACATCTATTCCAAATGAATCCAATAAACTTTTGTTTGTGTCCGAAATTTGATAGTTTGTCTAAATTTGTGAGGACACCTAAATCTTGTGATCTTTCTGCTATTTCTTTCCTTTCTATAGTCAAACCTATCCTCTTGATGAATATATTGTCATCAACCCATCTAACAATGGTGATTAAATCAAATTCCCTCATCATGATATGCTTCCAAGCATCTCCAGGTCTGCCAAAAGATCCACATCCTGAAACTCTGCCAAATGTAATTATTGTATCCAACATGAGGTTACTGTTGAAATCTTTCACTAGTAGATATTTCCATTGGTCTAATCTCGTTGGGATCTGCCTATGGGCTTTCTCCCAGTCAAATACACCGAACAACCAGGGAGTTTTTGAAGACTTGAAAAAAGATACGACCACATTAAAATCATCCAAAATTGTCTCAAAATCATCTGCAGCAACGAAGGGATTGACTGATGGAAAATTGGATCATTTCTTAGATGTGATGAGTCATTTATTGGTCTGAGAGAGCCATTGCCATTTATAACTGCTCCTAAAGGGCTTGACCTATAGAAGGTGAATATTTTTGACATTTGCAAATGAGTAAATGGTCCATACATCCTTTTTGCTTTAACTTCTTTCATCATTGATTGAATAATTTTCTCTGATGCTAACATCAAAGAAGTATGATTATCTGGTGTAAAATGAGATGAATTTGGATCCGGTAAGGTGTGTTCTGGGATTCCTTGGTTGAATCCGTTTATGAAACCATCAATTACTTCTCCGTATTCTTGCAATAATCCGTGTTTCTTTAATGCTTCTTTCCAGTTGTTCACATTCATCTCACATTTCATCTCTCTTGGCCATTCTCTTGGAATCTTGACTAGTTGAGCAGTTTGCCTTATTTCGGGACAAAAATCAACGTTCATTACGCTTGTTAAAGGGAATTACAAAAATAACAAATACATAAACTACATCAATAACAATTTTGACATCTTATTCAATTGATAAAGGAGAGAGAAAAACATGTTCTGATCACAACCATTTCTGGAAAGAAATGGGAAATGGATTAAGAGTGAATCATAACAATAAGCTACTTATTAGGTTGATTACTCTTTGCTGCTATAGCTGCTGCTTTCTTTTCCTTATAATTATCATCATAGTTATTTCCTAAATAACCCTTTTCACAGCCCCCAATCACAAGTCACTGGCAGGCCAGTGCCTCCCACCGACCCTAACAAGTCATGAGCAAGTTATGAGAAAGTTATGAAATGGATATCAAATGGATAACATCCATCGATTGAGAATTTGTTGAGAAGTGGTTGGGAGACCACCAGAATTGAGATGATGTCATACAGCATCATAAACCTGCACAAACCTGCTCCTGTATTTCCCCACCAAGAATATATAGTTTATTAACCTTTGTGACATAAATTGACTGAGGTATTGAGATTTGAAAAAAAAAATCACGGACAAAAAATACTATTTTTGTACTATACCTAAGAATTGATTCTGGAATATCTTCCAGCTTCATCAATATACATACACAAAAAAAAATGATATTCCTTTTCAAAATATGTTTCTCCACACTTTTGTCCCCTAAAGCCTTCCTGTATGGGCAGTATTTCTACATGTAATTCCTGAATGTGTCTGCAAGTTTGATTTTCTGAAGTTCTTTGCCCCAAGAAAAAATTTGAGGGAACATATGGCCAAAATCATTCTGAATTTGATTGATGTACATGTAGATGGTATTTGACAAAAATTTCTGCCATAAACTTTGCCATATTCTGCCTAGAAACAAAGAATCAATCAAATTGTTGACTGCTCATGTACACACCACAATTACATATAGTAATACTGCCCATACAGGAAGGTTCTAGGGTACAAAAATGTGGAGAAACATGTTTTCAAAAGGAATATCAATTTTTTTGTTTATGTATATTGATGAAGCTGGAAGATATTCCGGAATCAATTCTTAGGTATAGTACAAAAATAGTATTTTTTGTCCGTGATTCTTTTTTTAAACCTCAATAACTCAGTCAATTTATGTCACAAAGGTTAATAAACTATATATTCTTGGTGGGGAAATACAGGAGCAGGTTTGTGCAGGTTTATGATGCTGTATGACATCATCTCAATTTTGGTGGTATGACATATTTTGCTGGTAAATGACCCAAAACATCTTGATAGCAGATGGATGTTATGCTGAAAACCAATTGAAGTTTTGTTGAAAACATTTTGGAGACATTGGATGTACTGGCCTGCCAGTGACCAGTAGTTGGGGGCTGTGTTTGAAACTTTTTCTTCTCGAATGGTTTATTGATGGTTGAACTCAAAGTTTCTCCTAAGTTGCTACTTCCAGCTGAACTATTGATGTTGTTCCACTTTTGATGAGTTTCATTTTGATTAATTTGATTATTCATGACTTTCTCAACTTTCTTCGGTGGTTTACCAGTTGAAGGATCCCATGCGTACCTTTCTCCACTTTTGACATAAGGGTTCTTCTTAAGGGATTCATCTATAACAAAATTAAAAAGACATTTGGGATTAGTATGAAGTTATCTTATGATTTCTTTCCAAATTGAATCAACCAACCTCTAGATCTGTTTTGTAGAAAACATTCTTCTGCTAACGCCTGATCATATCCTGATATATCTGGCGGGGCTACTAAGCCGTCCACTTCCACTCTACTTACCAATTCTTCTTCTCTAACACGTATGTCATATTACGAAGCTAACCATCCCATCATACTCATCACTTTTTCAACATTTGCTTTATGTGCTAATGACCACTCTACAAATTTCACAAATCTTGCATTCATTAAAGCATTGATATATCCATTGTAATGAATTGACCATTTGCCATAATCTAAAAGCCACTCATCTGCATATGGTAATCCAGTATAATTTTCATTCTTTGAATCTCCTTCTGTTGATTTCACCTTCTTTCTTGCATGATAACCCATAGCTTTACTTTGCCATTCATTATCAAAAATAGTCAGTGCGATTGGATATCTTAATTCTTTAATATTTCTGTCAAAGTAAGGTGTATAGCTATGGTTCTTATAATTAGAAGTTCTTCCAGAAAAAAACCACATTATATTGTCAAAAACTTCTCCATCTGCTCTAACTTTACCATCATGATTTTTGCCTAGAGTTGGGTTAGCTGATGTCGCTCATTTAGTTGATGGTCTTTGTTGGTTCACGTCTCAATGACCTGAAGCCTCATATATTTTTGAATATTTTGACACTCTGTATCCATCTGCTTTCATTGTTAACTCCATCACTTTCTTAAAAACATCATTCTTATTGGTTAAATTTACGCTTTTGTCAAATTTTCCATTACCGTCAATTACCACCACATCTTCTACAAGTTGTAAGTTTAATAATAATTAGTTTATAGTATTATACTGAGTTAACAAATTTTGTTAAACTTACTTTCTAATGCTGGTGGTTCGTTTCTCAACGTGTCTAAATATACCACATTTATTATTTGAGTATCACTATTGCTTTGTTCTATGAATTTAACTTGTGATTTTGACTTTTTAGGAGTTCCTGTCGCAATTTGAAATAATTAGTTCATTAATGAAGGTCTTAAGTCTCTTTGACATTTGATTACGACACTTACCCTTCATCACTGGGATTTGTTTGAACACATCGTTTACGTCTAACAAGTTTGAATCTATCCGTTTGATTGACTTTTGTGAATCATTATCTTCAACCAAGTCTTCTGTGATCAGGATTTGATTTTTGTTTTGATAATTTTTCTTACTACTTCCAATATCTTTATTTGCTTCTTCGTGCAATTTTAAATTTAATCAGTTAAACTATTTCAAATTTGATTGAATTAATTTTAACATACCTTTCAATTGAATTCAATCATGATCACTGGTTTTCCCAGAATCACCTTGATTCTCAATCAATGGATTCTCCTTAGCGTATGCCGAGACTCCTTGAAGAACATTTATACCAGGATTCTTGTAAGTTCCCAAATCACCTTGGCTTGACAAACCAGTATTATTGATAATACCTTGGTTGTTTTGATTTGATCCGGGAGCTTTTGTTGATTCTCCTTGATTTCCTGAAATTAACATATTCTTAACTGAGGTGCTTTCCAGATCTTTATCTCCAGTTGCCGTCTTCTTTCTACTGGATTGTTCTGTCATTTTAACTGTTATTTAGATAAATTTGAATAATTTAAATGTGATTTAACTGAATTATAAACTAGTTGAAATTTGAAAAAGATTTAGAATTTTGATTTCAAATCTAGATAACAAAAAAAACAAAAAAAAAACTGCGAGGCTTGACAAGCTAGAAAGAGGAGGACGGGCGACGTGTCTCTGGTGGGATACAGAAATCTGGAATACTCAAAAGGGGGGGTCAGGGACGAATGAGAGCATTTGAGCCTTTTGATGTACATCTAGATTTCAGGCCCTGACTGTCCCTGCCCTGATGATGCGTCTGACAAATCATCATCATGACGTGATCCCAGTTGGCAGGATCATCTGGTCTTTGATCCAACGCCCGCCGTCAGGTCCTACCCGAGGCCCTTCACTGACTGGTACAGACATGGACATATTGTGACCTCCTTTGTGCCTCATACGGACACTAGCAATGAAACCCAGGAGCCATTAAACACAGTCATGCAACGGATTAATGCCAAAAGTACGCAAGTACCACTCACGGACTCTCAAGTAACCCGGCAGATCCTGTACCAGCAAAATTGCAGCAACCACCGGCTTCATAATCATTACCCAGTATGCAACCACCTCCCAGTCTTACCCTGCCAATTACTACCTCAACTTTCACACCAGCTGTTATCAAGCTGATGATGAGCGCTAGAGGAGGCCCAAAAGTTGGTACACCAGATGAGTTTGATGGTGCTAAGGGAGATGCTGCAGAGGCTTTTGTGCATCAAGTTGGACTTTACTTATTAGCAAACACTCAAACATTCCCCAATGTCAAAACTAAAATTATATTCATGCTCTCTTACCTCACCGGCAAAGCAGTCCGGCTGCACCAATCTACAGACGTATACTGCATAACAACAAAGGCAAACCTATTACTTTCGATGAGTTTGGGAAAATATTGGAAGCTACTTTCTTCAACTCAGACCGTCAGAGCCGTGCTCAAAGGGACTTACATGCATTCCATCAAACTGGATGGGTGGCAGATTACACTGCCAAGTTTATGGCGTTATCAGCACGCACCAGTTGGGGTGAATCAGAGCATATCAGCCATTATTGTATTGGATTAAAACAAGAGATCCGAGTCAACATTATCATGAAGACATTCACCAGGATTGCCAACATCTCTGCTTTTGCCCTTGCCGTCAACAACGAGCTCCAACCCGGTCTTAATTGCACTCCAATTCGTACTACTATCCCAACCATAGTACCATGTGACCCCAACGCTATGGACCTTTCAAGTGCTAAAGTTGAGTATACACGCACAGGTGTTTCAAGAGATAAGATGGCAAGACATCAAGAGAAGGGATTTTGTTTTAAATGTTGAAGAGGCAAGCATTGTGCAGCCAATTGTGGAAAGAAAGATAGAAGAGGAAATTGGGTTAGGAGTGGAGGGGGTTCTAGCGCAAGAATAGCCAAATTTGAGTCACAGTTATATGAATTTCAGAATAAAGAGAAGAGTTGTGCTGAAGAGTCAAAAAATGGCGATGCTCAAAATTGAATGTGCCTTTTTCAAGCGTGATGGAGGTTTGAATGGGTATAGGAGCTGTTACATGTTTGAAAATAACTGCAAGTGGTCCACAATTTCACCTTTTGTTGCCCCTGTCCCATTCCCTTCCTAGTGCCACATCAAAAAACCCCGTGCCCTGTGTCTCCTCAATTGTGGAGCTACACATGAGGCAATTAGTGATGTGTTCATCAAGAAGCATATGTTGCCAACAACACCGCTGGGTAAGCTACGCACTGTCAGCGCTTTCAATGGCCAAGCAAAAGCCGTGACTGTCAAGTGTAATGTCTTCATTGATGAAGATGACACACCAACAAATTCCATTGTCACAAGATTGAAAGACGCCTACAACACATTACTTGGCATGCCATGGTTCAGGAAACAGGGTCACAATATTGACTGGCTCACCAGTATCTTTCACTCTGACCAAGGCCCAATAGTCATTGTGACTGTCAACATCGCACCAGCCCTTGGAGGATCCCACAAGGGAACCTAGGAATAGTGATGAGCAGATATGTGTTTCAAACATGTTAGTACCCCCGCAATGTGAGTCCGATTTCTTGCCTTCTCAACTGCCTTTACAAACAGCTAGCAAGTGTATACACCGTTGAGAACAGATGCCTACAACTGAGAATACCAAGGGAGCTAACACAACACCAGTTCACAGCGAAGCTGAGATTGTGGATATAAGAGAAGGGTGTGGGTGGTGTTGTTGGAGTTTGGTCCGTCCATCCAAAAGTGTTGTGTTGAGTGTTGTGAGTTTTGTGATAGTTCTTTCTGTAAAATTGTTATACCCTTATAAAAGGATGAAAGTGTTATTTTTTTTAGTATTTCGGAGTGATTACACATCCTGTAGCGTGAAACGTCTGTGAACTGTAGAGTGCGGTTCTGTTGTGAAAGTGGATTGTTGAGCGTGTCTTTTGAAGTTTTAAGGAGATTGTAGTGGTCTCTTTTAGAAATTTGTTTTGGCAATTTTTTTTAATGTTTCAGACAGTCTTAGAAGTTCATACAACTTCTTCATCAACCAACCTCACATTATAATTTTTTCATATTCTTTTAAGTTCTCTCAAAAGATCTCAGTGTTGAATTTTTTTAAAAGAAAGTAGATTGTTATACATGGCCAATTTTTTGTGTAGTGGTGATTTAGGATTTCTGTAACCCTAGCGTATGCACTTTTAGTGTTTAAGGGACGTTTGGTGACCACTCGTTACAAGCCAAAAGACTTGTTTGAGCTGTTTCGGACCAGGTTTGGTGCTGATTTATTCAGTAGGAAGAATATAGTAACATTATTAGAGGTGTTGGGTGTGTGTCACAGGAAAGTTTGTTTTAGAATTGTGCTCCGTTGCTCTGAACTTAGAGATTTCTAAAGGTTGAGGGCAGCTTAATTGCATTTGTTGTACTTCCATTCTCACCAGTTGTACTTTGTCCTATCTCCAGCTCAGCCTACGCTACACTGCGTAGGAGTTCTACACCGGTTGTGTTCCTTTCACAATCCCTCATACCAGCTGAAAGAAACTATGAGATCTTTGACAAGGAACTCTTAGCGCTGGTTGCTTCTTTCAAAGATTGGCATCAGATTACCTTGGCGGTAACCTGCACTGACTAGAAGTGACTGTGTATACTGATAACAACAATTGAGAGCTTTATGACAACAAAGCAGCTAACTTGACGCCAGGCCAAATGGGTAGAGACATCTGGGTGCTTTGATTTTGTCATTAAATTCAGACCTGGGAGACATTCTGTTCAACCGGACACCTTATCTCAACAACCTGATCCGGCACCTACCTTGGAAGAAAAGCTTGCTTTTGGCCAACTGCTATGCCCCAACAACATCACCAGCAACACATTTGTAGAGCTCAATTCCTTTGATGCTCAGTTTTGCCCAGATGTGACCGCAGAACCCAAGGACACAACCCAATGTTTTGAATCAGACATGTTGGGTCTTACTTGGTGTGGTGACCTATTTATGGGATCAATCAAAAAAAATTAATCATTAAAAATTTCAGCATAGCAGAAAATTCAAAATGGAGGATTTTAGATCAATTGAAGCTTTTCTAGGCTTATGTGTTGATCATTGGGTCAAGATTATGTGATAATATTTCAAAAAGATTATTGAGATCAGTATAGTTTATTCACAATCATATTCCAAAAAAAAAGAAAAGAAGAAGATAAGAAAAATTCAAAAGTATAGGTATACAGTCTTGAAATGGTTTTTAGGGTGTAATATTAGGTTTATGGGTTTTGTCAGGTTAGAGTATGAAAGAACAACATTATATTATACAGTGAAAATCTTAATTTTGAAGGTTGATAAGGAGAAACAGAAGATATTAGAGAAAAGGTCCTTTTTTCAAGGATGGTAAACAAGGATTATAGATGTAATTTACATATGTAATGGTGGTAGTAGCAGGATTCAGGGTTGCCAAGCGGATCTTCCTGGATTTTTGAGGTTATAGATGATGATGTCATATTACATGAGCAAGAAAGAAGGAGTAACAGCTGTGAAAAGCAGTGAAAATGGGTGAATTTTGTCAAAAATAAAGGTTTTCAGCTTATTACATACTGCATCTGCATGAAAGCTTGTAAAAAAACTTTTTTTTTTGCTTGAGAGGCGCAAAAATGGCCCTGATCTGAAAAATACCCAAAGCCGGATCAGCTGGATGGCGACTGATCCAAACCCCATCCAGCGCTTCAATGGTTTTCAGCTCAAAACCATTGATCCATCCACTCATCCACCACTTTTGATCAATCTTGATCTCAATCTCTCCACCACTCAACTTCCGCAATGCCACCAGACACCGACAATGAGCATGGATCAAATGCAAGCAGCATCAGCCTCCCTGTTTTAGAAACCAAGGTGAGTTTCTTCCGTTTCTTTCACTCTCCCCTTTTTCTTTGATTGTTCTCACTTCTGTCGATCAATGACCATCTCTACCAATCACAGTTCCTTCTTCTCTTTTTCAGTTTATAGGACCAACCACTCATAAACAGGCTTTCATATGCCATCTTGACTACCTCCTGCACTTCAACCACGGTGGGAAGAATCCAAGATGGAAACCACACCAATCAAAGAAAGGTGGTATTGCAATCGATATCCCACCTTATATGGATCTGGCCGCCTTTGGAGTTCAAGTAGCCAAAGCTTGTAGCTCCAATATGAAAGATCTCGGCAAAATGATCACCAAATACCGTCGTGCTCAGGCTCTTTCCATTTGGTGAGTGGCAAGCTTTTTGGATCTGTGGAATTCATTGCTTACAATACATGTAATTCTCAATTACCTATCACCCATGCTCTCTCAACACTTTCCGTGCTAGGTGAGCATGTTGATGGCGCCCGCCGTCCGGCCTGATTTGCGTGATCCGGAAAGTTTTCTTTCTCACGCAAATCTGAGCTGGTTGGCTGTACGCTGGGTGGGTGGGTGACATTTGAAGGAATAGTATTGAGAAATGAAATCCGAGATGAGAGTGAGTTCGAGACTAGTGCGTGTGTGAGCAGACGTGAGAGATCGTGAGAGGAAGAGACTCAGATCTCGTTGCGGGGGAGGGAAGAAGTTCTTTCACTGAACTTCTCCTTGCTACAAGCATATGCCTCTAGTCTGTCAAAACCCGCCTCACAGTCATGGAACTCATCTCCAAGTCGTGCCTTTGATGGCACTACGAATCCATTTGGTGAGTGGCAAGCTTTTTGGATCTGCGGAATTCATTGCTTACAATACATGTAATTCTCAATTACCTATCACCCATGCTCTCTCAACACTTTCCGTGCTAGGTGAGCATGTTTGGGATGGCGCCCGCCGTCCGGCCTGATTTGCGTGATCCGTAAAGTTTCTCGGAAGGAGTGCCCAGACCAATTGCCTGAACTCACTCCACTCTTTCCCCAGAGGGCTTCGAGGCGACTTATGAACATTTTCTTCGACAAAGGTTTCCTCTTGCTCCTTGAGCCGTATCCAAACAGTGCGTCTTCTTGACTCCATGATTCGTTTCTTTTGATCAGTCGTTCTAGGGCCTCTACTGGGTCTAGTATTGATGGTTGGGATGATATTCTTATAGTTTGTGATTTGCCTGGTTTGGCTGTTTTTGCTTTCCATAGTGTAAGTACCGCAACCTTCTTACTCTCGGTGCCTTCGAAGTTTATATCGGCTATCGTTAACATGCCTTCTCTTCTTGTTGTCCTCGTCAGTTCCCCAATCCTCATCATGCCCCAGAACGCGACTAGAGCCGCTGTTGCGATTGCTTTGTCTTCTTCTGACCTTCCTGCTAGGTCGCAGACTAGTCCGATCAGTTCTCGCACTTGGATGGGGTTCTTTTCTCCTTTGTTCTTTGAGTTTGGAACCAACTTTTCTTCTTCTTCTGCCTGTTCGCAGGCCTTTATCAGTGCTTTAATCATTTTCTGGTCGAGGTTCGGCGGCGTGAGTTTAGTCGCCATTTGCCATGCTGTAAGTCCTGCTAAGTACTTCTCTATCGTCTTGGATTTGACCGTTCGTCTGGCTGATGAGTCTTTTTCCGCTTTAGATTCTCCTGCCCAGACGATGAAACCGTATACGTCATTTGCTTGTACTGGTAATGCCGAGTCCCATTCCTTTCCTTCACTTTCTATATACTCCTTGAATTTCGCTACCGCACTCGAGTAACCTTGTTTTGTTGAATCTGCCCAAGCCCCGCTAACCATATGTCTTGCTATTTGTAGAGTCTTTATGTCAGCGACTTCGTCTTCAATTCTCGCGAAGCTGGGCTGGTGGGACTTCATGATTACTTGGTCGATGAAGGGGTCGGTAGGGTTTCTTCGTTGGTTAAGGGTGAAAGTGGGACCGTTGACGCTTCAATAAAGTCTTTTAGGTCTTCTGGTATTTCAACTTGTAGTCTATCTGAGTCGCGTTTCCCTATCCTTATCCCTCTCGAAAGGTCGTCAGCATCGTTTTTCAAGGATGTAACACGTTTCTCTTCCAGGTCACAATCTAGCTCGACTAGTCTCCTCTGTATCCTTCGCCACTCATTGTTCACTGCGACATGCTTCGATTTCAGATTTCTAACTACCGCTTCCGTGGTGGTATTGTCTGTTAGGAATAGATATCTCTTGCCGCTGACGTCTTCCATTCTTGCTACCATTTCTAGGCCAAGTCTTACTGCTATCGTCTCGGCCCAGGCTATATCTCTTTTTACGCCTAACTGATCTGTTTCGTTCCAACCCTCCTTTAGCCTCCATTGAGCCCATTTGCATCCTATGATTATACCGATACCGTGATTGGTCGCCGCGTCGCCTACCCAACCGACGTCTATGGACTCCTTCTTTGGGATTAATCTATGGTTTTTGAAATCTTTCAGGACTTGTTTCCACTCCCACAAGTCGTCATGTACGTTCTTTGGCATAAGTCGTGGTGCTCTTTTCTCCTTCCAAGAGGCCATCCAGTGGTCTAGGCTGGTGTTGAAACATCGCATCTGGGGTAGCATGTGGGTTACGTGGGATAGTCTTCCTCGTAGTTTTTCAATCTGCTTGAAAGTATGTGGGCCTGTTCTGTTCAACGCTTCATCCACCTGTTCTTTCCGTTCCTTGAGTTTCCCTTCCGGAAGTCTGACTGACTTTTCTTTACCGTTCCACACGAACCCAATATACTTCTGTTCCGTAGCAAATTCCGCGTACTTTCCCTCGTTGGTCTTAACTCCCAGAATCACACTCTGGTTTACCACGTCTTCCATTGTTGTCTTGTTGTTTTCCTCGACTATCTTTACAAAGAGGTTATTGTCGACCCAGCGAAAGACCTCGTTGAATTTAAAGTAGGCTTTCATTATGTCTTTCCAGGCGTCAGCGGGTCCGCCGAAACTACCACACCCTGCCACTCCTCCGAATGATACTCTTGTTGTTTGTGTGTATCATCAGGTACCGCCATTGACTAGGGTGAGTTGGGATTTGGCAATATGCCTTCTCCCAGTCGAAGATCCCTAGGAGCAGTTCCCCTTCCGTGTTAGCGAAGAAAAAGGCTACTCTGGCGAAGTCGTCCCAGGTAGTCTTAAATTTCTTTTTGTCGCCAAAGGAATTTACTGATGGTAGATTGTCTTTGTGTTTTGGAAAGGACAGGTCATTGATGATCCTCTTTGTGCCGTCACCGTTTGTAACCACCCCCATCGGGCTTGATCTGAAGAAGCCTAGCTTCTTCAGAGCCTCTTCCTCTGTGAAGGGTCCCCTCATCCTTCCTGAGGTCAATTCTTTCTGAATCTTCTCGATCATTATCGCATTCGATTCCTTCGAACGGTCATGGTTCGGTGGCGAATGGAATCTCATGCCCTCCAGTACGTGTTCCGGAATAGAGTTGCTTCAGGGTTTCCTCCCATTTTCCAAGGTCCATTTCACACTTCACCGAAGTTGGCCACTCCTTGTTTGGTATTAGCGTTGTTTGTTGGGCACTCGGTTTTTCCTTTTCTTTGCTGAGTCCTCTTGCTAACGGCAATTCCTCTTTCGTTGCTTGGTTCTCCTCCGTTGCTTCATGGGTTTCTTTCTCCTGTATACTCTGATCATCCTCCGTTTTTAACCTGCTAGCACGAAAGTTTTTCCAAGAAGGAGGTTATTCAGTTTGTAACTACCAACCTCGTTTCAGACATTTCTTCAGTTGGCATTCTCTTTTGGTCTCACGCGTTTTTTGGGACTAGGAGTGCGCTTTCTCACACATAAGCTCTCCTGTCTCCAGCGTGTATGGAGGCGTCTCTCACGGACATTTAGTTTTTGGTCTAAACTGACACCTTTCTTTATATTTCAATTGGACTGTTAACCGCGTGCTCACTTTTAGATATTACAGTCGTGGTCTTACCCTAACTCTCAATATGTTAGAGGAAAGGAATTGCATGGAATTCAGATCAGGAATGATATGGGGTTGAATTATTATATCTTAGATTTCCCAACATCAAAAGGAAAAGGGGATTTTGGTTTGGGACTGGCTTGGTAATTCAATCTAGGGGAAGTTTGATAATTTTATCTAGGGAAATTAGGGAAAAAGGGTTAAGGAAAATTGGGTTTGGCATGATTGACAGTAAGCGACCGTTGCTTACCAGTTTTGTTTTCCTCCGTTGTTCTGTCTGTTCACTATCGCTAACGCTCCACTCTGACTATTACCAGTTGGTTTTGCTATGATTGCTAATTGGTTATGTTGATCAGTGCCATTTGTCGGACCGTTTTGTGTGTAGTTGTGTTGGTATGGAGAATGGTACGCGAATGGATTGTAGGCGTTTTGCGTCTGGTAGCCGATGGTGTTCTGGTGTGTGAAACCGAAACCAAAACCGCCGTTTTGGCGGTAACTACTATTCTGGTCTCGATTCGCGTGGAAACTGCTGTTCTGGTGAGTACTGTTGCCTCTCCTGTTCTTTTGCCACGGCTTCTTTCTGTTTCCGTTATGATCGCTGTCAAATTGTTGATTGTTCTTGTTTTTGTTGTTCCGTCTAGAACCGGAGTTGCTCTTCCAGTTACTATTACCGCTGTCTGGGATCTCGGTGGTCGCATCGTTCCTCGTGGGGATTTTGGTGAATGATTGGTCCATTTCACTCCCTGACGAGACGTAGGGGTTTTCCTTGTAGGCTCTCTCTCCTAAGGCTTTGGCTCTATCCTTCGCCGCACGTAAGATATCCTGATGTAATATCCCCGCGTTGCTCATCTGCAGTTTCTTGTCTATCCCTATTCTGTTCTGCATCACCAACTTCCGTACTTTGATACAGTATCTTAAGGCAATCATCCAGCAGGATGTGGAGCGTCTTATGTCTACGACTATCGCTTTATGCTTCTTGAACATCTCTGCCAATTTCTTCATGTGATAAAATTCCTCTACGTAACATATAAATAGATCGATAGAGTCCATCCAATCACCGTACGTCATCAAGATTTCATCTTTTGGGGTTAGGCCAGAGTAGGTTGGTATGTCGTCACCCTCTTGAAGTTCTTTTACTGACTTTATTTTCTTTAGGCCTGCTTTCTCCACATCTTTTTCTATCCAATCCGCGTTGAACACGGTCAGGGGAACGTATGCGGTAAGCTTTGTCATTCTCTGGTGGAAACTGTTAGACAGCTTTAGCAGGTTGTTGTTGGATAGTTCGAGGTCGTCCACAAAGACCATACCCTTCTCTGGGTCTGACATTTCATCCTCCTCTGACAGATTTTCACCCGACCAATCACTTTTCTTTTTCTCTAGGGAGGTTCTTAGGGACTCTCTAGCTGTCGGCGTTACTGCCCTTGTGAGGCGGGGAAGGATGGGCGTCTCTGCCCTGCTTGGTCTTGGGCGGGTGCTTTCTCTCGATGTCGTTGCGATGGGTCTAGTCATGTCACCCCTTCTTCCTTCACCTTGGTGTGGTGGGGATTCTTCGCGCTCGTCTAGGAGATCATTGTCCTGGATGAGGGACTCTGTACGTGGGCGACGACTTTGATGGTGATTCAATTCGGGGCTTCGTTCTCTCCATCTCCCCCTGGTCTCTTCCGGCTCAAACGGGATTGACCCGTATGTTGCCCTGAACACGTTCAACATTGTACGTCCCAACGATAGGTCATCGTTGTCGAATGCGTTCACAATGGTTCTCCACCAGGCATTTCGGCTTCCAAGCAAGGTATCTGAATGGGGATTACGTGGGGAATCATTTCCATGTTAGTTCACGCTCCCGTCCTCTGTGGCCATTGCTCCCTGGAGTGTTATGTTGTACGTGTTTTATGTTTATCACAACTATTTGGGAGTGGGCATCTCAACACTCTGTTGGTTCTTTCATGTTGGGTCTTTTTAGATGGACCTACGTCTAAACCACCCCGGTTAGGCTCTAACCATTTCAATCTCGGTCTCCTCATGTTTATCTCGACTGATGGATATTTCCCCATCATATCGTGCCTATGGTTATTTACGGCTCCGGATGGACTCTTCAACATCGGGCTCGGATGAGCGTTTTGGCATTTTCTGTCCGCTAGGTGGTCACATCTACACCCTTGGTCTTTCCGTCTAATCTCAGCGGGGATGGACACGTCTACATCCCTTGCCCTATGGGCCTACAAGTGGACTACGGATCACGATCTTGATGCAGTTCTATTTCTGGTGTTGGTGGGGATGGACGCTTCAACATCCCCTATCATCTCCCCGGCTAACGGAACGATATGCTTGGTATTGTGAAGTATGGATGGGATGGATTTCGGGTCTTTGTTGGGTTACGGGAGGATAGGGGGGGGAAGTGACTGGAGAGGAAACGTGGTGGTGACATTTGGAAGTGGGGGGGTTGATGGGGACATGGTTCGTATACAAATCTTTGATCTGTATCCCTTGTTGCATTTATGATCCCCTCCATTTCGACCTCCTTTCCTCCGTTCTCTGACTTTTTGTCCTCCTCCGTTCCATGTCACGGTTCTCTCACAGCTCCTCTTGGTAGTGTGGGTTTTCCTGAGTTCGTTTGTTTTGGTTGACCCCCAGTTTTGGAGTCACCCGCGCTGGCGCTGTCCTCTGGGTTATCAAAGTCGTTTTCCGGGTCGTCTCCCATTTCGTTTGTGTAGTCGACGAACTCACGCTCTTTGGCCTCCGCCTCTTCTCTGTTCCTTGATCTGTTCCTCGTGTTGGGGCCAGATTCTCCACTTATCATTGCTATCTCGGCTACCCTTCTTGCTTGGGCGAGTTCTTCGGCGAGTGTTACCATTTTTATTCAGGTTTGTGTGAATATTTGAAGGATTAGTATTGAGAAATGAAATCTGAGATGAGATTGAGTTTGAGACTAGTGCGTGTGTGAGCAGACGTGAGAGATCGTGAGAGGAAGAGACTCAGATCTCGTTGCGGGGGAGGGAAGAAGTTCTTTCACTGAACTTCTCCTTGCTACAAGCATATGCCTCTAGTCTGTCAAAACCCGCCTCACAGACATGGAACTCATCTCCAAGTTGTGCCTTTGATGGCGCTACCAAGGAATCCAATGGTTTTGTTTTATTCCATCGATCCACAAATTTCTCAAGAATGACAAGACTATACTCAACACAGACCAGACATTCAAATCTTGGTGCGTTGCAGCCATCAAGAATCCCAAAAAAAACCTGGTGTCTCTCTAGTCATGCCAAAGCCCACGGATCCAATTGACGTTGCTCAAAAGGTAAATCTTTTATCATTCTCATTGTTGATATGATTTACTGATTTCTTTCATTTTGTTTCGAACAATTCTCTTTGTATCTCTAGAATTCCACTCTTCATGAGACTCTCCGTAGCATTCCACACCCTATCAACCATCCTGATGAACACGTTCATCCAACGGTGAGTTCCTCCAGGCTGATATTATCTGATAACTCAAGCTTACCATATGCTTTCTTTGGTTCCAGAACATGAGCAATGTTAGTGATGTGGATGAGTTTGAGGTTCAATTAGCAAAATTGAACAAGGTTGGTAATGTCAATGCCTTGATCAATCGACACACACGCATCTACCAGCTACCAAATGATGATGACTCCTATGTCTCGATAAGTACTGGGAACCAAGCAAAATGGGCAAGAGCTATGGTGAGTCTTTAATATTATCATCATTTCATCACAAATCTTGTAAGCTAACCTTATCTTTCTTTTGAGATTGATCCCACTGTTCATGGTGTCTCTATAACTAGCCCACCATCTGGAATTCAAGATAGCAAGGGGGCCCTGAATGTCAAAAGACGTTGAGTAGGTGTTTCTGGGACATTTGAGACCCCGCAGACTGCTGTTCCGGTGGTTTGTGGTTCAGCCTCTATGGCCAATTACCTCGAGTTTATTGAAATCGACGAAATGGATTGAATTTTGGGGATTGTGACCAGCAAGAAGATGAGATTATCATAACTTTGCAGGTGGAATCACTAGGGAGGAATTGAGCGGTTTAGGCTTTGAAATTGGTGAGATAAGAGACTTGTTGGACAATGTGGTCAGATTTGATGAACATATCGCAAAGGATGATCATTAGTTGCTTCATCCTGCAATTCCAATATTTTATTTGGTATTCAAGGCTCTTGCTATTGTAATTATTAGTATTATCAAAAGGTTGATAAATCCGGATTCACCCCCCGAAATCACGGAATCCTGCGCAAATTTGGCAGCAATTCAGTAATCGGATTGATGAAGCACCGGGTCCTCTCCGCTTCTCACTTGAGGCCCACATACGTGAATAGCCGTGAGTAGCGTTGGACGATGCCGATTCACAGCTCAACCACTCTTCTTATTTATACCCATTTTCTCCGGCCTCTGCCTGTTGCACCCAACTGCGGATGCCTCACCATTCCTATCTTTCTTGGCTTATGCGTCACTATGCTTTTCCTCACGGGAAAAGCAAAAGCGCGATCTGCCTGTTTCATGTGCCTGTTTCGCAATCAAAAGCGTATAAGCTAACAAATGCACCTGAACCAGTGCCTCATCATTCATTGTTCTCCTATGTATTCTTTTGTTAAGCATCAAAAGACGTCTTATCGACCGCTTCCCACCTGTCTTTCATTGATTAGGCTTTTCCAAATGCCGTCTTCTTCAGCTTCACAATCACTTAATTAGCGCTTTTCATCTGTATTCCAAGAGCGCTAACTTCTTGCATCCCCAAGTTCGTATCACCGCTGCACACCCCAACTTTGTCGGTGCTGTTTTAACAATGACATTTTTGCAAAAGTTACGTCTCCTGTGTCTCTCTGCAAAGTCACCGTTGCCTTTGCCGTATGCCTTATTTACCCACATGCCTACTGTTACCCCCTTTAGAATATCTAGGTACATGATCGAGATGCTTATTCTTTGCACCGATCACCATGTGCTTTTTACCTCTGATGCCTGTATCTTGCGACTTGCGTTGTGCTCATCCCATTCAATATATCGTGGTTGCTTTTTGACTGCTTTTACCACCATTACACTCTCCGTGATTGTTACTGTGACCTTTCATTTTTTCTCCGTAGCGATTCCCCTGCGCATACGCCATCCACATCGTCCATCTCCCTGGCTTCTAACTCTTTTGTTTTTTTCTCCTCGGTCAAATTCACCTTTCGTCATACATCTGCTTTTGAACTTCATGAGTTATCCCATTGTCTAATTTGCGCAGACATCATTGAGTCGTGTACCAACCAAAACTGGTGCAATGATCTGGTTTCTATTGTTTAATACCAACAAATGTGACGAGCCAGCGATCCATCAAGGACACTTTTCAAGCAAATCCCCCACCTGACCGCAGGTATAAAAGGCGCATCTCAATCCAATTATACTCCTCCATCCACCCCCATCTCATTGACTCCGCAAACCACACCCTAAATAAATTTAAACCGACCTTTCCAAATCCTACCCTAAAATAAAAACACCATGCAAGTCCACCGCAGTGCATACAACTCCCTTCATCCTGGCACCTGTTGGCTCAAATGGCACGTTGCCGCTACCTGGGATCACCCTTTGAATGACACTTTCTTATTTAAGGTTGTTACTAAAATCATGAACGGTCAGTATGTGGATGTCCTCCATGACTCCTAATTGTGCTGACATTTACCTGCATTTGGTTCAGATCACCAGAACCGAAACCGTTCCGTCAACCAATCAGGTACTTTTCTACACTCAAGTATGGGTCTCCGTTATCGTTTTGTATCCAAGCTTTACTCCACTGGAGTTGCGTCTTTTATGATAATGGAGCACCCTACCACCTCAAAAGTCGCGGATCTGTCATCTGCGTTAGCTTTCATCAAATTGGATGATAAATGAGCTGCTCTCCTGTTATACTCCATCGCTTTATTTTGCTTTTAAAAATATTATTGTTTGTTTCCTTTACTATGGCCTGTTATACATGTTACTCTACCTTATTAAATCTCCTATCATGATAAAAACATCATACCTCCCGTTTTGCCTTGATCGCCTGTTGTCCCTCTTAACCCGCCGCGACAACGCGCAGTTGCCTATAGATTTACTAAACTACGTTGCGAGTTCGCGCCCCTCAGATTCTTATTATTTATAAGGAGTTGTGCCCCGACGGTGTACCGATTGATACAATTCTTATAATACCGCCATATTGCTTGCGTTGTTAGAATTCACTGTAGGTAATTTTATGCGCATTTTGGAGTCTCCGGTACCTGGCCATCACCGCCGCTCACATACATACCGCTTACGAACTATGTTATCTTGAGTCAATTTACCTCTTCAAGTTTGAGGTGTGGTGAAATCCTGCAACACCTGCTTAACAAGATGTTGAACCTCTCCAACATAGCTACCTAGACCAGCCGACGCCAGTCAGGAATTCCGCGATAAAAATCTATTTATTGTGTCACCTTTAAATTGTCGATTTAGCTCATGTCATTGAAATCATATTCTTTGAGGGGACTGCCTCAAAATGTATGCTTATTTCGACACTGTTTAGCGTTGTCGAGTCGGCGGGTCCTTCGAAACTGCTTTAAATGTAGCATCTTTTCATCGTGTCCAACACATCGGTCTCCCTTTGTCTTTTTGTCCTCACGACGGGAGCAACAATTGGAGTAGACATCTTCAGCGGTTATTCATAACTGGAAATGAAATTTTGGTATGTGCCTGGCACTGACCGGCATTATGGAACTTTTCGGAATTTTCGGAATTCTCACGGTCTTGGCCAGGTAATCTTGCACATCGTAGCGGTGAGATTGCTTTTCGGCCTTCGATCTTGGTGCTTTTCAAAATGTGCGAACCATCGGCGCTTTTGGATCCCTACTGGGCTTCTATGGTTTACTCGATGCTTTTTGAAAAGCTCCATGAAAAGCGACTTTCTCACTCTGGTTAATTTTACATGATTTGGCGTTTGTATGGATGTCTAAGGCAAAATCCCTTCATTTGGCGCTTTTATTTGAACCGGTCGCCAAAACATGTCGAGTACTTTTCACAATGCTTTCAACAGCTTTTTATTCACCACTCAAAGGGTATATATTGCGCTACCAATGCTTGACTCTTGCATTTCACTTTTCCCTAAGTTGCAATCTAATCTTTGTTAGTAATCGAAAATATTCTACTCGCAAATTCAACCTTCAACATAAACTTGACCATTGCATCTCAACTTAAAATCACTTTCACCAACCACCAACCTAATCGCTCCTCCATCGTTGCCATGTTGAAATCCTCTTTACCAAAGACCCCGCGGTCTGAAACGGTTAAAGGATTGACTAACAGCAAGAAAAAGAATCATCCCTTTTACATCTCTTCTTTGTTTGACATGTTTGCGCAAGTCAGTATCGTCCGTTCCCGTGCCCTATTGTCCCTTCTCGATGCTGATGAGTCGCAATCAGCTTGAATCAGATGTCCAAGGCACTTGGGGGTTCCGACACTCCCATATGACGATTGTTACCTGGGAACCGGATGCCGAGGACTCCATGGGATGGGTAATCAGAGGTTCCGCATATGGTGGAGTCAAGACTATTCTTGAAGTAGACGGTGTTTATTTCTTCAAGGGCCGTTTGATTGCATTAAATCAACCCGGCAAACAGAAATTTTACTACGAACCCAAAAACCAAATCTTTGCAACTACTTCCCGAGACCTTAAAGGTGACATATCAAACTCAGTCAGCGTATTTGGACTCGGCGTCATCATTTCACGCAAAATCAAACCTGTATCTGCAGGAAAGGACACCATCGTTGTTGTCGTTCGGCATACGGATTACAATCCTGAGGTGATTGAATCCTTGCACGTAATAAAGAGTGACGCTGATTGTTCTCTTTTAGATTCGTGCTTTGAGCTCTTTCGACGTCCAATACAGATGCCCTTGGTCTCCCTTAATGGAGAAATTGCAGCCCTTACTTATCCCTAACCGTGAGGTTCAATTAATCGGCCACATCGTAGGTAAAGACATGTCCAAGCACATGTGGGTTGTCGAGGTTTGTACAGTTCGAACCATTCATAGCGCAGAATAGTACAGTTGACATGGCGTCTTTTCTCTCATTCAGATTACTGGGGTCAGCGTCACATCCGGGCCATCGAGTAGTGGCGCTACCTCCACTCCAATTTCAGGCAAAACCATCATAACTCCAGGCGGCAGGTCACGTGGCAAAATGTAACTTTTGTTTCAATGGATTGTTCTCCTCCAATAGCTGATAATCATTCTTTCATCTTTAGGATCTCTGATAATAATAAAAGTGTCCAGGGGTCTTCAAAGGACTTAGACGTAAAGTCATGCGTCGAACAAGAACAACCGCAACCTCCAAAGAAAAGAGCAAGAGCCCCTCCAGTTCGAAACGCGGTAAAAACACCTAATAAGAAAGGTAAGAAGACCGCCTCACCCGGAGTTCAAAATCCCGTCACCAAGCCCAAACCGTTGAACTACAAGGGAGACGCAGGTGGTGTCCCTCCGAACACAGCCAAGGGAAAAGGGAAAGCTCTGCTTCAGTCCGTGGAAGAAGAAAAGTCTGTAGCAGAAGATGAAAGTGACGAGGACTAGGCGTCCCTTCTGTCCCCTTCTTTGCAACCACATGTCGGCGTTTGATATTTGTTTGTTGTATTAGTTAATTACAATGGAATCCAGTGTTCAGTACATATCTCATTTTCACCTCGACCGTGATGAGGCCTTCATCCTCCTTTCGTGATTCAGAATAGCGCGCATATGAATCTTTGAATTTCCTTGAGAGCGGCCGAACCTTCACATAAAGCATCCCACACGCCTCTGATAAGGCGCTTGAAATGGGCCAGATCCACCTTGCGCCTGCCGGAGTGTACTCACGACCACGCCGGTGTCTGTTGGAATCGTGGTCTACGTTTTGTGCAGACTGAAGGGTGTTGCGCTACTCAGATGCTGTTACGAACCTGACAAGTGCATGTGAAATTTCACTGCGGTGCCCTCTTCAAATTCATAATTTGTTTGACTGCTTTAGCTGTCGGTTAGATCAATGTACGACCCGCAGACGTAAGGGTAGAATTGGCGTCGAGGCCTCGCTCTTTGAAGATCCTAATTGTTGCAAGGGTGGAGCCCGTGTTGGGAAACTTGGCTAAAGAGCCTATTATGATTCGAGCAGTACTTAGTCTGAGCGTTTCACGAGACGTTAATTAACACACGCGAAAGCACTTGAATGTGGAAAGCGCATGTGCTTTTAGAGCGAGTGCTTTTACGGAAACAAAGGTTCTTTTCCAAAAGCACCGGGGTCGTACAAGTTAACTATATAAGCCGTTGGTCATGGAGGACTCAGAACCCAACAACTAACCTAAACCAACATCCGCATTCATATCATGAACTTCAGCTACCTAAACATAAACATAACATTCTTTCCAAACCCTGAACATCTTGATTCCTACCATAAATTTGCAACCAAGTCTTTGAACCTCATCATTCGTAAATTGTTTTTGCGATTGCGGAAGTACCCTAGGCCAGCTGACATCTCTTCAACTTGGTGTGGCGTGTATCCTATTGCTTATCGCAGTAATCCGATTTGGAGTACCTAGCGTCATTTTTTCAAACAAAAGTCATTAATCTCTTTGAGAAAGCACCTACCCCATATATCAGCCAAAAACCAACACAAATCAATTGCCTCCGTTTTGACTTTGGTGCCGTTGAGACTGCGGCCAATTGGAGAATTAATTTAGATGTATGTCAGCTCATGGTTCCCATCTCTCCTGTCGGAACCGCCAAAAGCTTCAAATTCTGACCTGCCCCTATGTTTTTGGACCTGAACCACCAAAGAGACGGATTTTGTGGGTGATAGACAGTCAACTTCTTCAATCAGCCGGTTATGGTCGCAACAAAATGAGTCGTGTGCAAGACCAGCGCCGAGAACAATCAATCTTCCATTTTATTAAAATTTCAACACCTCCCTTATCGGCTTGGAGACCAGAATCACAAATGTCAGTATTGCGGCGCATTGCGATGGGCAGAAGAGAGGACAAAGGTAAAATCAAAACATCAAGAAGATATCTATTCAAACTGTTGTCAACAAGGTTCGGTGACCTTACCTTGGGGAGAGTTCAAAGGACCTACCGTGCCCAAGGCTCTGCTGAAATTATACACTGGAAAAGGCAAAGGTGAGTTTGGGCTTTTATCATTATCGTGGCAGGTTCTGACGGGAATTTGTAGATGCAAAAGAATTTCAAGACAACATTACCCATTATAACAATGCGTTGTCGTTCACCTCCTTGGGAGTGAAGGTTGATCAATCTGTCACGGGACAAAAGGGGATCAACACCTTCCGCGTGTCAGGACAACTAGCTCATCGCATTGGATCGGCTTTGCCAGCTGCGAAGAAGACTCCATCCTATGCCCAGATATATGTTGTTGGAGATGGAGGCGAAGGTGAGGTGGATGTAAGACTAGGACATTTCAAGAAGAAAAACTTATCAAGAGACGTGATGCGAGAACTGCAAAATGTATTGAATGATGTTAGTCCTTACGTGGAGTTTTTAAAATCCTCGGCTACCATCTTAGAGTCACAACCATCGCTCCGGATCATGCTGAAGACTTTACCTCCGGGTAAGAGGGAAGTGAAAACGTATAATAAACCCCGCCCAGAAGACGTGGCTGCAATTGTTGAATCATCAGAAACTTTAGATGATAAGCCTTGCCACATCATCCTTCACCGGAAGAACAATAGACTGAAGCACATTTCGGATTTAAGTACATGTTATTTACCGCTTTGCTATCCGCTCATGTTACCTTTTGGCTCGCAACAATGGGATGATGATTATACATCACCTACTGCAAAACAGAACAAAAAAAGTAAGTAATAGAGTTTCACAACTTGGTCAGGTCCGAAACTGACAAAATTTCGTCAGGAAAACGGGAGGACTTCAAAGTGACAAATCTCGAATGGGGCGCGTATCTTCTATACGAGAGAAACAAACATTTTTCCCTGTTCCTCCATGGTCAAAGACTCACACAACAGTTGATTGTAGACTTATACCTTTGTGTTGAACGAGGCCGGCTGCGGTGGTATAAAAACAATCAAAAGACCATTAAGGCCGATTTGTATCAAGGATTACGTGAGGCTTTTGATGGGAACCAACGTCCGACAGGAAAGAGGATCATTTTACCTTCAACTTTTGGGGGAGGCCCCCGACATATGCATAAATTGTATCACGATGTGATGGCCTTAGTCAGGGAATTTGGAAGCCCAAGTTTGTTCATCACCATGACGGCAAATCCGAATTGGCCCGAGATCCAGAATTCGTTGAAGTACGGTGAAACAGCATCTGACCGACCCGATATTGTCGCTCGTGTCTTTTATTTGAAACTTATTTGTCTCCTAGGTGAGATTTACAAAATGGGGAGGTTAGGGAAGTGTATCTCCTACCTGGGCGTAGTCGAGTTTCAGAAACGTGGCCTACCTCACGCACATCTGTTATTCATTATGGACGAAGCATCTCGACCGAAAACTGCTGATGAAATCGACGCCCTGGTCACGGTGCAGCTTCCCAATCCGGTGTCTGAAGAGCGTCTCCATAATTTAGTAGAAACTTTCATGCTTCATGGTCCCTGCCAACGAGGAGGTCCTTGCTGGATCAATGGAAGATGTTGATCTCGATTTCCAAAGCCATTTGCGGAAGAGACGTCCGTCTCAGACGCTTCCTTCCCCAATTATTGCAGGCCAGACAATGGCCGCACCGTTTCAAAACCCTCTTCTACATATACCAATCAACATGTTGTCCCATACAACAAATATTTATTGATGTTGATGGAATGTCACATTAACGTGGAGATACCGGTGGGAACTAGGCCGATTAGGTATCTTTATAAATATGTCACTAAAGGATATGATAAAGCGAGAGTTTACATGGAGACGGCACCTGACGAAAATCCAAACCCTGCCCGCGAAATTCCTACTGGATCGACTCGGAAAGAAACTGTTCCGACACGGAAGCGAAAGCGAAATGAACCAACCACAGTGGAACCTGAAGTACACGATGAAACCAAGGAGTACCAAGATTGCCGCTACATCAGCGCACCTGAATGTAAGTAATGCCAAACATTGTAATGATAAGATGACGAGTATGCTGACTTTGCAGTGCAGGTGCTTGGCGGTTGTTTAAGTTGTTCATGAACAAAAGGAAACCTGCGGTCATGAACTTGAACCTCCATTTAGAAAATGAGAAGTTGGTGTAATATGAGGACGAGCAGGAAGCAAGACAGAAAGTCACCATTGGCCCACTGCCTAATTCTACTCTAACATCCTTTTTTCCGCCTATGTAAAGATAATACTAAGGGGCACAAAAACGTCTATGCTCGAAACCTTCTTTACGTTGATGTCACAAAGCACTTTACTTGGGATAAAACAAAAAAACATTTCAAAGCTCGGAACAAGAAGTTGCGGACAATCGGTAGAGTTCACTACACCAAGGTGGCCGATGGGGAGAAATATTTCTTGCGACTCCTATTGTTCAACGTGAGAGGCCCCCAGTCTTTTCTTCATTTGAAAACCATCGACGGCGTCACCTACAGCACTTTTTGTGAAGCCGCTGAGAAATTGGGTTTATTGGAGTCTGATAAACATCATGAGGCGGCATTGGCAGAGGCTTTGTTGTGGGCTTTGGCTCACCAATTACGAGAACTATTTAGCTTGATGTTGACTTATGGACCCGTTTCTTCGCCCGACACTCTATGGTTGAAGTTTGCCAATTTTTTAACGGAAGATGTTGAAGCTACCTTGAAAGGCTTAGGTCACGAAGGCCCAATTGATAAAGATTTACGACATGCATATGGTTTCAATAGATTGAACGAAAGTCTACCAAACATGGGCAAGGAGACTGAAAACGTCGGTTTTAGCATTGATCTTAAAACCAAGATGACTAGCCAACCAGGCTTAACTGCGCTTCCGACTCAACCTTCTGGAATTGATAGTGCAAGGAGTCGAGCTTTGTTCGAACACGAGCAAAATAGCCTGAACAAGGACCAGAGGCACTTTGTGGATCACGTTTTGGACGGTTACAGGACCAAGGATCAGACGATTTCTTACTTAGACGGACCTGGTGGAACAGGAAAAACTTACACGTTGAACACAATACTTCATTTCTTCGAGGGCGAAGGCTTCCGGCCCGTGGCAGTCTCATTGTCAGGGGTTTCAGCTTTGCTTCTAAGTGGAGGTACGACTGCACACTCAGCCTTCAATATCCCGATCACTATAGATGACACTAGCACGTGTGACCTCACCGGGAGAGATGAGAAGAGTCAGAAAATTCTTTCCGCGCCCGTGATAATTTGGGACAAGATATCTATGCAACATAGGCATTGCATCGAGTCTGTTGACCGGAGTTTGCAACATATCAAAAATAATTCGAAGCCATTTGGCGGGATTAGTATTATTTTCTTGGGAGACTTCCGGAAAACGCTGCCTATTGTACCTCATGGGACGCTTTTTGATCAGAAATGGGCCTGTTTAAAGTCTTCTAAATTATGGTCCCTCATTAGTACCTTCAAATTGAAAGTCAACTTGCGGTTAAGAACTGACGCCGACGGCGACAATACAGATGCGCGGCACTATGCAAAATGGCTACTGGATCTCGGCAATGGTAAACTTCAGAGTCAAGACAGACAGATTATTCCACTCGAACATGTTCAAGTCCAAACAGTACCACTTTTCACCGATAATCCCATCAACTTAATTTCTTGGTTATACGATGACTTAGTCGGGACAATGTCAAACCCGGAATCGCATCAGACTGCGACGTACTTTTCCGAGAGAGGCTTGATAACGCCGTTCAATGAGACGGTAGCAAGTGTAAATAACGCCATTTTGGAAGGAACACCCGGTGGTATGTCTTGCGCCGTCTCGATAGACAATCCTGATCCCAACTTTGCGGATCCGATGACTCCAGAGATTTTGAATAAGATCGATTTCACAGGTTTTCCGCAGCATAGGCTGTTCTTGAAAGTTGGGCAACCCATAATGGTCCTAAGGAACTTGAGCATAGGTTCTGGGCTTTGCAACGGAACTAGATTGGTCGTCATTAGCATCTCGGATTACCTCCTCCGTTGCGTAGTGATAACAGGTCCCAAACGAGGGGAAGTCATTGCACTGCCTAAGATGAGGCTGATTCATCACGGAGACTTGGATCAACCTATTCCATTCTCCAGAAAGCAGATTCCGGTGGTCTCTGCATTTTGCATGACGATCAACAAAGCGCAGGGTCAAAGCCTCAAAAAAGTGGGCATCTTCTTACCCGGGCCAGCTTTCGCACACGGGCAGTTGTACGTTGCATTATCTAGATGCACGTCTTTACGTACTTTGAAGGTATGTTTGGCAACACAGGTTGCGGCTCGAGCAACGACAAATGTTGTATGTTGCGAACTAATCCAAGCTTAACGCATTGGTTACATAAATGTGTTGGGTCTCTCTGTCTGTGCCACTCTTGAATTCCTGTTGTGTATTTATTTATGTCCCATAATGCTTGGACCACAGCATGTTGTTAGTGTCAAACGGTTCCATTGTTAATTCGTGAGCACAGAGTATATGACTCCATGAATGTCTATTGCGGTGTATGTATCCAAAGTTTGTACTTCTGTAGAGAACAAGGGGATAAAACTTGACTTTGTCTTACTTCTGGATTAAAGAGATTCATCCGTGACCGAATGAAACAAACAATAAGGTTTCAGAGTCGTGGTCACTGACCTGGATTTAACGTCACGGCCAATGTCAGATCCGTGCAGGATCACGCCGTGATGCGCAAGATGTCCATGTAACAGTTGATGCACACATTGAGTATGGGAGTGTGTCAAATTGATAGTATAGAGCTAATGTAAGAGAAGGAACTTGAAGTTCATCTTGGAGTGCTGAGTTTCTATCCATGAATCTTTTCAGATATCGTATCCTGGTATAAGATATATAATGAGTGGAGTGGCTATGTCCTAGATCAGGATTCAAGATATTCATGCTTGACCGAATGAACCAAACAGTGAGGTTTCATAGTCGTGCTCACTAACCTGGATCCAGCGTCAGGACCCAGGAGATCCAAGCAAGAACACGCCAGGATGGGTTGGGTCTCCAGGCAACAGTAGATGCGCACGTCATTCATGGAAACGTGTCGAATTTGTAGTAGAGGGCTAAGGGAAGAGAAAATACTTGATTCTCATCGACTTAGTGCTCAGGTCTTATCCATGAATTTTTTGAATTAGCGGCACCTGATACAACATATATGACAAGTGGAGGGGCTATACAAGATTCTGGAATATGTGCGAAGATGGATGTCCAACAAGGGTAGGAGAAGGTTGAGGTACTGTGACCAGGACAAGAATATGATGTACATGATTGATTTTGTGCTCTACTACAGGATGCACGAGGCGACTTCTTTGACGTCGTTGTGAGAGACAGTGGTATGTCCATTTAAACGACGGGGCGAAGCATGAACGTGGGGGAGACCACGTTTTGGGTACTCAGCAAAAATCTCTACATAGCATCCTAAAGGAATGAAGAGTTAACATGCAAACTTCCCTTGCAGACAGTAGAAATAACGTACTTTGCGCTTCAGGCGTTGTTGACGCAGAGTCTAGCCGGTAAATGGAACATACCGCCTCCCTGGTGCCGAAACGCTTGATCCTGAATGCGTATTTCTTCCAAAGGTGCATTTTGATCGCGACAGAATTAGGGAAGATGATCCAGGTTCGAGGAGGGCGATCTGAATAAAACATCAGGGGATTAGGATACTTCGGCTGGGGATTTGTGAGTGAACCTACTTTGGTGGAAGTGTTGGTTTAAAATAATAAGGAACTCAACGAAATCTACGTCGATTCCGATTCGGTGGAGTTTCTCAAATAGGATCATGGTGAGGTAAGTTTGCGGAATTTGGGATAAAAGTCATCCACGACATGCTTCTTTATATATTGAGCTTTTGCGGTTTATCATCGGCCCTTACCGAACTGCTTTGTCTCTAAATAGGCACTATTAGCATCAAACTAACCCCGATCAAAGGTGGTAATATTGGTTGTGAATCTCATTATCGGAAAAATGTGTCAATGCATGTTACATTTTCAAAAGCATTCAATTTGGTGAGAAGGACGAGGTGCTTTTGGGAGCAGTAACTTTTGCCAATTCCCCACCTTCGAGTATGAAAGTGCACGGTCATGTCGGCGTGACAGTTGGGACAAAAGGATCCTTTTATAAGGTGGTCATTGAATAGCAAAATCAGCCGTTGCTTGGCGCTTGAATGGACAAATACGGCGGCCAACCGGAGGGCCACATAGCAACTTTTGGAAAAGTACGCTTCTAAATCGATTGCATTGCGTGTAGAGGGATCATAGGAATGGAGGGTGCCTGCAGGAATTACCAATTGTGATGCGAATGCTCATGCCGAGTTGGGATTCAGTCAACGTACATGATTGTGAATCCAGGTAAATTTCGTTTGCATTGTTAACGGGTATTAAAAGAGAGCAGGTGTCGTAACTTTTAGTTTCATGCCAAATAAAATTATAATTTCTCAATCAGAATCCAACTAACTACATTGTAAAATCCAATCGTGAGTCGTTTCACTTCTCTTGGACGGAAGATTACCAATACCAAACGGAATTCACATTTAAACAGACAGTCATAGAATCAAATACCAATGCCTCAATACAAAGACCTTCGGTGGAAAAATGTGGTTCCGCTCCCGAGTCAGTGAGGGAACAATTCATCGGAAGATTGTTGGAAAGGGTTTTAGAGCGTAGGTTGTGTTTCTCCATTCTGCGTGATACGGATGTTTGCTGATGTGCAGTTTGTAGTGTCAGAAGGCAGACCAAGACCGTTTGTGGAAAAAGGTACAATTTGGATTTCACACCCGGATAAGAGGTTCAAATATAGATTTGAGGTAGACATTGATGTCATACCACGGGTTACGGTGGAGGAAATCTCAAACCGGGTTTCAGGCTGATGCCTGTACTATTCCTGTATCATTTTGTACAAGTGGGTTTGCCTAGTTTAATGGTTGGGGGAGCGGCAATTGGAATTCCACATTGTTATAGTTAGCTCTTCGCTCTCAATGGCTGACTTGGTGTGCTAAAAGGTTTTGGGCTGCATTTTGGCGAGTACATACAATGGTGCAGGTTGCCTGGCGGGCGGGCCCGCCTATTCTCTAGTCAAAAGGTTGATTTCTGAAAAAAACCAATAACCTGTATCCTTAGTTTGTATCAAATGTGAAATTTGAGAATCAATTTCCTGTTTCACAATTTGAACCAGAATTTGATTGAATCAAAGGACACCAAAAAGGTTGTCCCTCCAATATGCCAAATGGATAATATTGAAGAGGTGTTCTTTGAGTGTACTAAGACATATAAAATTAACATCACAATAATGACAAGGAGAGCAAAAATTAATTGTGACTTTGGGGGCATACTTCAGGCTGTACAAAGGCTATTGATGATACCCCAGACACAACCTCAGAATCGTCTTAGACAAGCTAGGTTCCAGATTTCCTGCTGATGGAGACATGCACTGCATCTGGGAATTGAACCCAGGTGCACGTCACAAATGCTTCTTTTGTTCCCTTGCATATACTACTACACACTGCGTGAAATGACGTGACCCATGCCGCCACACAACAACTAATTGCATCACACGGCGCACTACTTGGTGTGCAGCAACATGCTAGAGGGTGGCATGCGTCATGAACTATTTGGTGGCAATGGAACCCTTTGGGCGGCGACATCAAGTCTTTCAAGGCGACCATGAACCTTGGGGTGCGACATATATGCCGGTGTGGCAACATATACACCTGTGCGGCAACATATACAACACGTGTGACGGCATATATATGTTGTCACACATATATATATATAATATGTGTGACAACTGTACATATGTAGCAACATTTGCATGTGTGGCACTCTCTCAACATTGCACCTCAAAATTATGTGAAACATAAGTAGCTAAGAATTAAACCCTTATTAGCCTCCTTTACCGTGCCACCGAATTACATGTTTCTGCTTCCAAACTCACAAAGGGCTTATTAACAACCAAAACATTCCTGTGCGGCATCATCACAACTCACTTGGAAAAACCCATCAATGATCATCATGATGGATACAAAGACTCATTCAGACTATACCAGGGTTCTGATAAACCCTGGTCTGGTGGGAGAGATCATGAGAATAACTCAACCTTGCACACCAAGATCATGTGAAACACGAGTGAGTAAGAAATGAATCCTGATCAGCCTCCCTTACTATGTAGCGGAATTAAGAATGCCAGTTTCTAAACTCAGAAAGGGCTTATTAGCAACTGAAGCATTCCTGTGTGGTGTCATCATGATCCAAAACATGAAAGAATACGTTAATTTACTCAAATTTGCTTAATATATAAATGACAGTCCTTTTGCGGTGGTGTACGCTATTCAGATCCCACCCACCCTACTCCAAATAAATTGTACCCAGTCTATTCCAAGAAACTCTTACAACAATCTCCTTATCCTTTTCTGATCATTTATACTTTCCAAAATGACCTCCCCCAACAAAGACATCACAATGTCCCAACCATCCTCTATGTCCACTTTGATCACAGAGGCCATATTGAAAGAACCAGTCACACAGGACCCCCGTGGTATTACACCAGCAACTAACCCACCATCAACCACCTCCATGGCAGAAGCTTTCAATAATGCATTGGCGCAACAAGCATCACAGTTTGCAACCATCATAAAAACTCTTGAGAAGAAAATTGAAGACCTTTCTGTTCCTGGAAGCAACGCTAAAATCAACCATCCACCACCAGTTGAAAAGACACAGGCTTCAAGCATGGCTTCTTCCTCTTGTGCATATCAAGGCTTGACTCCCTCAACATCTAAATCAAATCATAGCCTACCCCGCAAAGGCACAACTGTACCCTTGACTTCATCACAGAAAATCAGACGGCCCATCCCTCGCAAGCGGCATCTGCTCCAGGTGGCATCAAGTGTCTTTCCAGTGGACTTTCAACAATGAAGGTGGGCTAAATCTTACAATTTTGCCTCTTCCAGTCCAACTGCTGATATTCATCTCATTGCACTTATATTAATGTAAGACCTACGGTCATTACACAATCACAGAACTATACACTTAATTATTAACACTTAAGACCTTAGCTTTCATTCTCTATTTATAGTTGTTTTCAATTCTCTCTTACCAATGGTTCCTTAGAGATATCGGGACTGATACATCTCCCTCTATCCTTTGGAACCAGGTACAGTCATCTTTCCTTTTGATCTAGTTTCTTTCTATTGTTGTAACTGTTCTCACCGCTCAGAGATATCGGGACTGATACATCTCCCTCTATCCTTCGGAACCAGTGTTCCTGTTGGATTAGTAATATAAATCAGTATCTCTTGGGTTCTAGAAAACCCCTACTGTGTCTCACAGTATCCCGTGCGAAGTATCCAGTGAAGGTTCTCCCAAACCTTACACTTTTTTTTTCTCAAACCCAACAAATACACCCAACTTTCTTTTGAAATACATAGTTTCGGATCCATACAATCAATACTTCAAATTCTTATTGAATGCGCCACCTCGAATTCACTGCATTCGAGGTGCTTTAACAACTCAATTGATCACTACCCCGCGTTCTTTAAACCCCATACTTGATCGACGTGTATGACGACACACCGACAAGCTCCCCCCACCAACCCAAAAGCCCCGCCAGTTCCTCTGCCAGACCCAGAAGCCATTATCCGCGAGAATAGACGCCAGCAACAACTTTCTAGACCGAACCCAGACATCGCCAGACTAGCTGCAGCACAACCAATTCCGCCAGCCGCACCTGCTTGTACTCGCACAATCCAATTACCGCCTGTTACACCTAACCGCCTTCGGACCGGAACATCTACTCTGACAGCATTACCAGAGTCGTCTGAGGGATCCCCACTTTCTTCTTTACCCTCGACTCCTACTCGAGTTCCACGTTCACCTAAGCCGTTTCCAACAATGGCTGACCAAACCAACCCGTCAGATAACGCTAGTTCAGAGCTCATGAAAGCTATTGTAGATTCACAACTAGCTACTAATCGCCGTATGGAGAAATTCGAAGACTTCATGATGAAAATGATTGAATCTAAGCTTCCGAGTTCGGCTGACAATACCACAACCGAGTCAAAGCCAACGAGCGGGATTGATCTGACGAAATTCCGCACGTCAGACGGGCCGGTTTATAAAGGCCCATACCGCGAAGCAGAGCCATTCCTGCTGTGGTATTCTTCTCTGAAAACCTTTTTTCGCACTAAAGGTGTTGTGTCGGATGCCGATCGCATTACGCTAGTAGGGAATTTCCTGGAGGAACCTAATGCGCACGCCTTCTATGAAGGAGGGTTTGATCGCTTCATCACAGGCACTTGGAAGGAGTTTCTTGTCAAACTTTTCGACTCCTGCTTACCTAGTGATTGGAACAGTTGCCTCTTTGAGAAGGCCCAACACTTGAAGATGTCGCCGTACGAGGACTTCATCGCTTACAGTACCAGAGCTCGTGGTATTCAAGTCTTAATTAACTTCCACGCGGTTGTGATAAATGATCACCAATTAGCTACTTTCGTGGAGTATGGCATGATTGAAGAATTGAAGACGGCAGTAAAACTATGGGGATTCTCGAAACCAGTCAAAGATTTCGCCTACCATGCGTTCGAAAATCAATGTGAGACGCTTTATGCCTCGTTAGTTGCTTCACATGCTATCACCAAGAAGACAGGGTGATGAATACCAATGCCGGATTGTTTGAGTCCAATACCTATCACAATCGTTCTCGAGTCACCACGGCCAATACATCAGGTCGGTTAAGTGACGAAGAATTCAAGTGGAAGATTGACTCGTATCGAGATCTGATAGGTCAGTGCCACTTCTGCAAGGGTTTCTGTGGCAGTGAGCACCGTGCATGCAAGGGCCCATACATCAAAGAGAAAGTCAATTTTCCGCCAGGCTATGTCGCTCCGCCAAAACCAGCCAACTACGTACCCCCTAAAGCTAAATCTTCACCGCCGGCAGCTCGTAATCCAGCGGGACAATCCAATCAACCACCCGCAGGACGTCCAGCCGTATCATATGCCAAGGTGGCAGCGACAGCCGAGTTCCCAGACATGGATGAGATCGCAGTAGCTGCGCTTCAAGCGTTAGACAAAGAGCTTGTTTTAGCAGAAGCCGAAGGGTGCGTACCTTCTTTTAAGCCACCTCGGGTCATCATTGAATTCCTTCACAATGGCGAGAAGATTCGGGCGTTGGCTGATCCTGGGGCCGAAATCAACATTCTGACAGAACAGGCGGCAGACCGACTTAGACTCTTAAAGAGGAAACTTGCGAAGCCGTTACAGCTTAGCCTAGCGGTCAACACTGAATCACCACCTCCCGTCTTGACACATTTCACCACAGTCAACCTCGTTGAACCAACGTCACAAAAAATATTCAACAGGACGTACTGCAAGCTGGGGGAAGTAGGAGGAGATTTTGACATGATTCTTGGAACTCCTTTCTTCAATATCTTTCAATTTTCTGTTTCTATTCATCAACGAGCTATTGTATGCGACAAGACCGGTGTTAAAATTTATGATTATCGTCTCTTGGAAGAGTGGAATGAAGAAATTAAGAAATTGTCTGTGCCTCGTATCATTGAGCCTGTGAAAGAGAGTGAATCATCGTGGGAAAGAGAAGTCAGCATGAAACACTGCAGACATTATTCGGGTTCCCCAAGTGGGCAGGGAAAAATGATTGGGAGTATGATTTGTCATAAAATGGTCTATCACTCCACACCTGAGCCATAAGACCCACACTACATATGTGTAGCAGGCTCAGTGAATATGTGGTTATCATGTACATACAGTTCTGCTCAGTTATCTGCTCATCAGGACAAGTTATTCATATGTAATACATGCTGTAACTTCTTTCAGATTGAAAAAAGCTTCCAAAAGATTGACTACATACACTGACTCAATGTTTTGGTGTGATCTCATCAACTCAACTGCATGTAACACACTTTCTGTTACTAAGACATAGCTTCAACAATATTGCCTGAGCAGCTACAGAATTATATGTAGTGAATTTTTGGGAAAAAAATTTCAAAGTCGAAAAAGTTACATGTGGTATAACATGTGATTTATTTATTCTGATGGGCAAAAAACTGAGCAGAACTGTATGTACATGATAGACAACTATTGACTTAGCTTGCTGCACATATGTAGTGTGGGTGAAATGGCCCAGGTGTGCAGTATTAGATTCTTTTATGAAAAACTGTACTATTAATCATTTTCCTCTGCCAAATTGGGGAAGTTGAATGATGTTTACAGTGAAAGAAGGTGAACCGTTGAGACATGAGTGTGAGAGATATGAGCTAAAGTTGCTTGAGGAATTCAAGGATTTGTTCCCAGTGGACATCCCGGCAGTATCAGATGAAGCAGAATATGAAGGATTGTTTGTCGACGGCTCCTTTCCTGAGAAGCTACAAAATGAAAGCTCAAAAGTACGCCATAAAATCATATTGAAAGATCCGGATGCTGTAGTCAACGAGAAGGCTTATAACTACCCGCCCAAACATGTGAATGCGTGGGGCAAGCTAGTGGAGCAGCATCTGGCAGCAGGACAAATCAGGAGGTCAAAAAGTCAATATGCTTCACCAAGTTTGATCATTCCAAAGAAGGACCCTACCGAACTTCCAAGATGGGTATGCAATTACCGCGTCTTGAATGGCCTGACCGTGAGGGACCGTGCGCCATTACCCAATGTGGACACGTTGGTCAGGCTTGTAGGAACTGGAAAGATCTTCTCTATTATTGATCTTACTAATGCGTTTTTTCAGACACGCATGAGGGAAGCCAACATACCGTTAACGGCAGTTCACACACCATGGGGCCTTTACGAGTGGTGCGTCATGCCAATGGGCTTGACGAATGCGTCTAGCAACCATCAAGGAAGACTTGAGGAAGCATTAGGAGATTTGTTGAATGTCATATGTGTGGTTTATTTAGACAACATCGTCGTGTTTTCGAAGACATTAGAAGAACATCAAAAACATACTAAGATGGTGTTACAAAAACTCAGAGAAGCTAATCTGTATTGCAGCAAGAAAAAGACAAAATTATTTAGGAGAGAAATCAAATTTTTAGGACATTGGATATCAGAAGAAGGAATTAGAGCGGATAATGATAAAGTAGAGCAAGTGTTGAATTGGAAGACGCCAAAATCTGCCAAAGGGATCAAGAAGTTTCTAGGTACAGTGCAGTGGATGAAGAAGTTCATCTGGGGGCTGGAAAAATACGTGAACAAATTGACTCCCCTCACCAGCACCAAACTCGGCGCAGAAATGTTCAAATGGGGAAAAGCGGAGGATGACACGTTTTGTCAGCCCTGAGTACTAAACCAGCGTACCAATGGGCGACAAATATATTAAAAAACCTTAAAAACAGCAATTACAACTCAAGGCTCAGTTTCAAGAGTCAAGTTACATATGAATTGGCATATGTAACATGTGCAAAACTTACATCAAAGAGTGTGTACGTACACAACTTTCATGTGAACCAAAGCTACATATATTTCACAGACGTAACACATATGTAACAAGTGAAATATACTTATAACCCGATAGTAACCGTGTTACTGTAATTAACCTAACCTTAGAACCACAATTTGTGCGCACTTGTAGTCCAAAGATTCTCAAGGTTCAGACTATATAAACCCTGAAGATCCCACCAGTTTTGAATCATCACATTAACATTCAACAACTTTACAAATTGCTCATTTCATCTTCCTAGAACTTTTAAACTTTGTCTAACATCTACAAACTTTAAAAGCCTGATTCTACGAACTTTGAATCTTCAACCTTGTGTCTTGTTGACTTTATTGTGTGCGCATCAAAACTTTGTTTCTATCTGATTAGACTCTATAATCAGTTAGTTTCGTAATATCCATTTGGTGGAATTACGTATAAGGAAGTAGTCCTTGAGTAAGGCTTATATCAGATCAGGGATTCATCTGATATAAGGAACTCTAAATCTACGGGGAATCTCTATTAGTCAGAGTTTAAAGTTCCTGGTGTTAAGATAGACTTTAACACCTCCTTTATTGATCATTCTTTGTACAAGAAGTGACTCAATTTAGGCTTGAGAACTGCGCGTCAGTGGCTCTATTTTAATTGTTGCAAATAAGAACAATTACCCAAAATCCCTGGGCGTGAAATCCTTTGTTAAAAGGTCATCTAACTGGAGTCTTTACTTGTTTATTACAAGTAAAGCTTCTACGCCCACATCTTTAAATACTCCAACTCTTGGATTGTAATCCCCACGAGTCTAGTAGAAGTTTGTTTAAACTTCTATCTCCTTTTTATTGACTCTACTAGCCCAACAGACGCTAGTAGGCTCACACGTTTCATAACATTAAGCGGTTGATGACATCCCTGCCGCACTTGAAGAATATTGACTTCGAATCTGATGATCCAGTATGGCTTTTTACCGATGCGAGTGGGTCAGGCTTGGGAGCTGCACTTTTTCAAGGAAAGGAATGGAAGACAGCATCCCCGGTGGTGTATGAATCAAGGCAAATGACTCCAGCAGAGAGGAATTATCCCGTACATGAGCAAGAGCTTTTAGCTGTGATGCACGCGCTCCACAAATGGAGAATGCTGTTGTTAGGAATGAAATCAACATTATGTCAGACCATCATTCGCTGACTTATCTCCTGAAACAACGAACTCTCAGCAGACGTCAGGCTCGGTGGATAGAGACGCTAGCAGATTTTGATATTGATTTTAAATACATAAAAGGGGAGGATAATAGTGTTGCAGATGCGTTGTCTAGAAAGGGTATTGATGAAGAAGATGTCGATTGTGTGGCAACGTTGATTGAAGCAGGTCCGATGTTAGCACCACAAGTACGGGACCGCATTTTGGAAGGCTATGACGGTGATTCTTTTTACAATACAGTAGTTGCAGTACTTCCGTTGAGAGAGGATTGTGTCATAGTAGATGGTTTACTTTACATAGAAAACAGGTTATACATTCCATTCATCAATAGCTTAAGGGACGATCTAATTGGGGAAACACATTCGCGCTTAGGTCATCTGGGCTATCTTAAGACAATTGGTGATCTCAGAAGAGAATTTTTCTGGCCGAGGATGGCGAAGGACGTGAAGCTCTTTGTGAAATCGTGTGATATCTGTCAACGGACGAAAGGCTTGACGCAAGCTCCGGTAGGGAAAATGCTCACTCCAACGATTCCACAATTACCGCTTGACTGCCTAGCCATTGACTTCGTGGGACCTTTACCCAAAGTCAATAACTATGATATGATCTTAACATGTACTTGTCGACTCTCAGGATTCACAAAGATAATTGCGTGCTCTCAATCCAATAACGCGGAAAAAACGGCATCCAGGCTCTTTTCAGGTTGGATTGGCACCTTTGGGGCACCATCTTTGATCATTAGCCATTGAGATAAGACGTGGACCTCGGCATTTTGGAAAGCATTAACGCGTAGGTGTGGGACTAATTTCCACATGACAACAGCCTTCCACCCACAGGCCGACGGAAGGAGCGAGCGCACCAACCGCACGGTAGGTCAGATCCTTTGCACATTTGCATCAAAAAGGCAAGGCAAATGGCTCGAGTTGTTGGCAGCCGTCAAGTACGCTATAAACGGTGCCATTAATGTATCCACGGGGAAGTCGCCGTTTGAACTTATCTATGGACGGCGTCAACGTCTCCTTACGGTCCACAAGGCGGACGAATCCGAACCAGCTTCCCTAGATAAATGGCTGAAGATGAGGCAAGACGCTTGGTCCTCAGCGCGAGATGCTCTTTGGACTAGTCGCATACAACAAGCGTTGCACCACAACAAACGCTGTCGTTCGGCGGATCCCTTATCACCAGACTCTTGGGCTCTCTTGGACAATTCAGACTGGCGAGGCCGACACCAAGGTGGCGTCAACAAGTTGAAGGAGCGGTTTGAGGGGCCCTACAGGGTTATCAATTCGACAAATCACGGTCAGAACGTGGAGCTCCAACTTCCAGATGGGGATAAGCGACACAACGTTTTTCATGTCTCAAAAGTCAAACCCTATGTGGAACAGGACGAGGATGAGGTTGTGGCGCCTAAAGAAGGAGTGCGGAAGTAAGTTCCTCTCCTCTTTATGCACCGCCGTAGTATACTACGAAAAATGTCAAAAAGCAACACCTAGGCCACTTTGTGAGCACAACCATATCGGCATTCTCCCTTTAGATGTCAACGATGGGAAGTTACTACGACGGACGACACATCAGGATCAACATTTTCGACCTCAACATTCAATCCAATTTTTAGATTTAGGACTTCTCAAGTTTTTACTTTCATTTTTTTTCAGTTTCTTCTCAGTTTCTTTTTTTTTTCCTTCTTTCTTTTTTCTTTTTCTCTTTTTTTGTTTTGATATGTTTTTAAGTTTTCAATTGGTCATTTCCTTTTTTTACAAATATGTTAGTTGTTCAACAAATCATTAGGCATGCTTTGTTCCTTTTATAGGAGGGGAGACTGTAAGACCTACGGTCATTACACAATCACAGAACTATACACTTAATTATTAACACTTAAGACCTTAGCTTTCATTCTCTATTTATAGTTGTTTTCAATTCTCTCTTACCAATGGTTCCTTAGAGATATCGGGACTGATACATCTCCCTCTATCCTTTGGAACCAGGTACAGTCATCTTTCCTTTTGATCTAGTTTCTTTCTATTGTTGTAACTGTTCTCACCGCTCAGAGATATCGGGACTGATACATCTCCCTCTATCCTTCGGAACCAGTGTTCCTGTCGGATTTGTGTCTCACAGTATCCCGTGCGAAGTATCCAGTGAAGGTTCTCCCGAACCTTACAATCAACAGGACACACTTTACTTACACATGAAAATGATGTGGGGATTGCTGACGAAAGACAATGTAATAATTGCTCCCAATCCCAAACTACTCACTGGATTTCACTTGCAATTCAAGACTGCAATGACCACTGTGACTTCACCAGATGTCATTGCTCAAGACAGCATCCTCACATCAAAGAATGCCAAAGACAACCGTGTTAAGCTGGGTTCTGGAATCATGAATATCAGCAACATACAGATCCTCTATATCCACGGTATCCTGGCAAGAGTTGGTATCCGTGTGTGGAGTCCAGACTTGAACAATGCACATGATTCACTCTACAATTCAGCCTGTCGCCTTGTGGCAATTGATACCTTTTGACAACTTCTTGCTTCCGCATCATACAACTACATGAATGCCAAAAAGAAACACACCAACTCTGTATCATGGATGCTCCTTGCTCATAATCACTATGTGCACTTCCGCAAGGCAGAAGAGTTTGCTAGAGAAACCGCCGAAGCTGGGTGGCTTGCAAGCCAGACTGAAAAGGAGACTGCCCAGAGGCGTAGACAGTGTGTGAGTCATCTTTCTTGTGAAAACATGGAGCATTGATTCTGACGTTGTGTTATAGTTTTTCAGCCTCGCAACTTGCGGAAAGCCTCCTTATTCAATAATTGAGAAAGATACCCAGCTCGCTATCAGGAGATTGTTGAAGATATCCTGGCCAACAGTGACGATGAGAAGTCACCTGGTACAAACATTTGCATCATCCAAACATTACCACATAGATCAACCAACGCCAACATATTCTTCAGAAGACTGGACAGCTTGATGAAGGCAGATGCTGCCTTGGCTAAAAGTACAAGCCAATCAAATGCTTGAGTATTGCCAAAAGTCCCTTCTGTGTCAACCTCAATCAAAGCACCTGAATTCCTTCCTCTTGACTTCTACCGTCCATCATGGTTTCAAAAGGTTGAACCCAGTCGCAAGAAAAGAATTTCAATTAATCAAGTTGCATTCCTTCCCGATGCCAGAGAATCTTTCTCAGTTCATTTAGATAAGAAAAAACCTGAGGCTCAATTTGCTGCTAAATGTTACAACATAATCAAGGAACCTTATGGACTATCTGAGGATGAAGGAGACATTGCGGATGATGAGCGCAATTTTCCACAAGATCGGGCATTTGATCTTGGGAAAGCAATGGATGTGGATTTGGATTCTGTTCAAAACAAAGAGACTGACGGGATGTCTGACTTCTACTCTGATGGTGAATTTGGCGCCTTAGATGACTTGACAGAATGATTACATCGATAGAGCAATTCTTACACCTCAATTCCCACATTATTCTGTTTCTCCTATGACTATATTTCCCTTTTATCTGTTCCTCTTCTATGTTTTTGAGCCACTTGTTTTTCATGTCAATATAATCCTATGTCTCTCTTTCTTTTTTGCTGCTGATGACCCGATTTTCTTTGTATCTTGCTACCTCATCTGCTCATTTTTCATGTCAATACAACCCTATGTCTTGCTTTCTTTGTTGCTGCAACCAATCCCAGTTACAATCCACATGCTTGGTCCAAATTCCAAGTACTGAACGTCCAAAGATAACATGTGTGACTTGACTAGACCATGAAACTGAGGCCCCTGAACATCCTCTAGACAAGGCTTATTTTTATTTTGCCTTGCAAATCACGGTTCTGGCTGCTTTAGTGGTCAAGTTTTGCTGTCCTTCTTAACCACTATATCAGTGGATAATTGGATGATAGACACATCTATATAAAAGGGACATAATTTCATGAATCCATGTCTTACTCATCCACAATTACATTAACTGTTCATTGCCCCCACATCATCTTCATTTTTCTCTTCAGCCCCAATCCATCTGCATTTAACACACTTAGTTCAACACCTCATCATCTTTCAATTTCTGTTCTCAACCCTGTCTTGATCTCTGGAACCCACATTTACAACAATGATCTATTCTCGATTTGCCACAGTAGCTGAGGTGATTACCGAAATAGAAAATCTTATACCTGGTTGCAAATTGAACCAAAAGGCAAAGAAGGCTGAGATCCAGGCTGTTCTGGAATTTCTTCAAGTCAATTTACAACTTCTCCAACCCCCTTCAACGGTGAACAGCTTGTCCACCATCATCACCAACACTTGCCTGTTTGAAAGTGAGTATTTCTGGAAATCAATGAACAAATCACTTATCATGTACACATTCTTCTCATTTATTTCCCCTGACATCTATCACATCGATGGAAAGCATCAACACCACTTTGAAGCACCTCAATACATTAGGAATGGCCCCAGGAGCACCTGAAAGTGTGGAAGAAGGTTCACATGTCACAAAGAACATACTGACAGGTGAGATATCTGTGAAGAGTAAGCACAAAAACCTCCTAGCACATACAGCTGGTCCTTGAAAGCTTGGACTCTGCCTTTTGTTTTTGCCCTTTTGTGTTTTTGTAATTGCTTTCGAAAATGCACAAAAAGGTTCAAAAGCCACTCTTATGGGCTATTTTTTTTCCTTGAATAGTCCATAAGCACCTTAACCCATTTCTTTAGAAAAAATGGATTTGTTATACACAACATGTTGTGTCTTTTTTTTATATCAGCCAGTTGCGTGTGACCTTTCATCCCTGTCATGAGTAGTCCTTTCACACATGTGACAGATTGAGGCTTGGTGCTACTGACTCAGTTGCAGATCTGCAACTGAGAACTGGCCTAGCCGCCATACCCTGCTACAAATCACCTCTCTCGTCTTCACCAATCTTGTATCAAATCCACCATCATGGTTTATGTCAAGTATTCAGCTGACATCAAAGTCATCGCTGTCCGCCTCTCCCTTGACGGAGTTGGCCTTGAATCAATCAACAATCGTATGGACATCAAGATCTCTCGCCAGTCACTCAGCCGATGGCGCCACCTCTTTCTGACAACCCAATCAGTGCTTGCTGATCCGCAATTCTACGAAACACGAGGCCCACCCACAGTCCTTTCGAACACCGAGCGTGATTTCATCGAGGGGATGCTTGAGGATGATCCTACATTGTATCTTGACGAGGTGGCAACACGTCTTCTGGAGCAAACCGGGACTTCCATCTCAATCTCGGCTCTAGCTATTGAGATTCGAGATCGTCTTGTTCTGACCCGCAAGATTGCTCGCACAGTGCATCCTAAGCAATCTGCTATTCGTCAAGGTGAATATGTTGATGAGGTCAGTAGAATTAGACCTGAGTGTCTGGTGTTCATAGGTTAGCTGTTCTATTGATTTATCACTCAATCTTTACTTTTTCAGCTGCTAACATTCTCACTTTTCTCAGATGAGAGTGCCATAGCCAAACGAAGGCTTTATCGCAAGTATGCTCGATCTAAGCGCGGTCACCGGACCAAACGACTCGAACGAGAAATCTGCTCAGCTCGATTCACAACGTTACCAGCAATTTCAATGGACGGATGTCTTGCTCTTCAGGTCAAAGAGGGGTCTTTCAAGCGACATGACTTTGAAGCGTATCTTGAAGACTATCTGGTATGAATTTCTTGCAAAATCAGGTCTCCATCTCTTTGCTTCTAGGTCTTGAACATTCACTGACATGAATCCAACTGTTAAAACTCCCTGTGTCACCCCTAATCCCTTTTCAACAACTTTGATACATCATAAAACCTTTCAATCTCTGACTCAATCTTAATCAATCCAACCCAATTTCACTCAAAATGACTGGACTTCAATCATTTCGATCTCGTAAACTAGCTACCTATGATGAACCCGTGGCCCGAGAATAATAGCTGCTTGGTCCTTGACAATGCTCCAATACATCATGGTGGTGAAGTTGCAAATCTATGTGATCAGTTTGGTGTGAGATTGTTATATCTTTCGCCATATAGCCCGGAATTCAATCCGATCGAGAAGGCCTTCAATGTAATAAAGAGCCGCTTGCGTCGAACTCAAGCTTTGATAGGGGACTTCACTCCTGAAGAAGAAGCGGAAATAATCTATACTACAACTGAAGATGTCATTACCCGAAAGCTGGTTAGGAGCCTATACGAAGGGTCAATTTATTTGTAGCAGTACTGAACTGTTTGTAACACAATAAACATCTCTTCAAGTTATCTTTCCTCCTTTTCACTTTCCACATTCGTCATCAACTCTCTCAAAACCCTCAATTCCACACGAGCCTGATCCAAGTACTCCAAAGCGATCTCCTTCACATCCAGAGTCTGTGTAGATTTAAGTTTATCTTCTACTCCTTCAATTCTTGTCTTTGGTGCCTCAATATCAGCCTGAAGAGCTGATCTCGATTTTCACTTCACAAACTTTCAACCCATTTCGTCATCACCGCCAGAATCCACTAATGTGGTCAAGACCAAAAATCAAGATCAGTCAAAAATGAATTCACCTGAAATCCGAGATTGTATTTGGGTATTTTGTAAAGTTTGTTGATCTTGAATGGAACTCTCAAGATCGATTCCGATACACTTTTTTCTTTGAAAATGTTTAGTGAGCTTGTTGTGATCAAAGACCTAGAATCTCGTTTAACACTTGTGGTGAATTGTTATCACATTGGAGAGAAACTCATGAAAGTTTCAGAGGAACTGATCCATTAGAACGTCCATTTATGTGTGTTATGGATGGTTGTATGAGGGATTGGAAGGTAAGCTTTCTTGTCTATCATTATTCTCGTTTTCTAGCCAAGAGGTTGATTTCTGAATGATTTCGTATCTTGATTTTAGAATATCGCAGGAATTCGCTATCACATTCGTATGTACCTTTGGTTTTCTATAGGTCAAACAAAAACCTTACCATGGTCCACTTTTTCTTTAAAAAATTATAGAAACAGCAACTGATCATTTTATTACAGATCCCGTGACTTCAGAAAGAGTTAGGAATTTACAATCAGAACAAAAACCAATTCAAAGAGGACCAATTAGTAGTAGTCGACCAACGGGTCTTAATCTTTTACCTAATCCTAATCTTACTACTCAACCACATCATCTTCCACCTGTAACTACGATCAGTAATCCTATTCCTACTACTACGACCACTCCGACGATTAAGAGAAAACCTAGTGGGAAAAGTAGAAGATTGAATCGATCTGATGAAAAGAATGCAGCAAGAAAATATCTGTGTCCGATTGAAGGATGTGAAAAAAGGTATCAACAAACATGTGAGTCAGGAATCTTTCACCTATGAAGTTTTTAATCTTTGTATCTTCATTTACTGAAAGATTTGATGTCTCATTCCGATGATGATTTTTTCACCTTTCAATTCACGAAACCAAATATCAATAGCTGGATTAAAATATCATCTTTCAAATGGACCTGAACATTCTGCAAAACTTCATAGAGATGGTGTAAGTATTGATGGATTAATAGCCACATCGACCTTGAATATGTTAAAAAGTAAAGACATGGAAGCAGGAGAAGATGAAGTTGGGAACAAACTGATGGAAAAGAGAGAAATGAGTACTGAATAATTCAGTGATTTGGTAATTGAAGCATCAGATTTACCATACTTGGAAGCGAAATCATCACATCTTCATTCCGAAAGATCAAGTCAGATCATGGATTCAGAAGCAATGTCGATTTGTTTAGAAGATCGATTAAAGATTCCAGAGATCCAAAAAATCGAATTCTTATCTTCTTCAAGTTCAGCTGGAGGATTTCCATTAGTAAGTCAAGATGAAGTAGGAGATCAAAGGATATTGGTTTATATCAGTTGTAGTGAACTTGAACATGGGATTTCATTAATCTCGGGAAAGGCTTTAAAGTTGGATCCATCGATTCAGTTTCAAAGTGAGAAAGAGATGGTAGATTTAGATTTAGACAATCGAGTCTTTAATTTTTTTAATTATTTGTTCTAATGATTTATTGTATTTGCAATTGGTTCAATCTGAGCAATAATTCAACACATAAATTTCAAATGACAATTTTGATTGGATACAACAATCCATTTTGGGAGTAGTCAACTGTAGAGTACATCAGGTAGGCTATGAGTACAGAATGACAGAACAAAAGATCACAAGAGCTGAAAATCTTTATTGAGATTCCTGAGAGCAGGATTTGAAAAAAGGTAGAAGAGCTGAAGGTCAAAATCAACGTTGAATTGGTTCAAAAAATCCCTTCCGAATTGAGTCTCTGACTCGTTGACCAAATCTTGCAGCACCTGAAATAAGTTTTCTGGCAATGGCAAGTTGGAACTTGGCTGAAACCAAGGTTTTCACATTGAAGTCTTCAGCTTCATTTGCCCGGAGATCAGTCCAATGGTTGAAACCTTGGAGGCAAAGGTTAGTCCGAGTATCTTTGTCATCAGGATCAATGAGTGCAAACAAGAGGAAATCCTCAAAACTCCCGCAGTTGGTGCTTCTGAAGAGCCGCTCATCTGTGTCTGAGATTGAGTCGTTTAGTGAGCTTGTTGAAGCTGGAACAGGTGCAATAGTTGAAGGATCGGGTTGATTTTCTTTTTCTTTCGCATCCCGAATCTCATCAAGTGGAGATACACCATTTGGATGGAACCGGAAAGCCACAGTTTTAGGTGGTACAGTCAAAGTCACATCATTGCGACCAGTACGTTTGTTTTCGATCTGTAGCAAAGACTTCTAGGGTAAGATATATGCTTGATTTTATGGGATCATATGTGAGGGTTTTGGTTTACTGACCATGATATCGGCCCATATCCTGGCCTTTTCACCGGTAACTCGAAAAAAGTTGGCTTTGTTGTGATCATAGCATACTGAATTGTCGCCCTTTCGGTGTTGACAAAGTATCAAGCTGATAAGCTCAGAGCGCTCATTGGCTGAGCCTGATACTGGAAGTTCCACTTCTCTAGATTGATTCCCACTTTCGTCGATTTTTCTTTTCTTGTAAGCTTTCATTGATGCTTCTTGCGCAGCAATTTCATCTTGAGCTTGTTGGACAAGCGAGGGATCAGGCATTTTTAAGGTGAGGTTGACAAATTGAGTAGACCCAAGAGTCTTGACTACCTCAATTAGTTCTTCCCATTCATCGGGTTGATCGATGTCATAATATGGGCCAGCTCGTTTGATGGTTTGTGCTGTAGCAATCCACGAAAGCTGCTTTGGTGGGTGTGGATCGGTGAGATACATCGATAGATCAGGGACATATTTGTCAACCTGGATCATTCCAAGGCGTTTGAACTCTGCTGGGCTGGTGTTGGAGGGGTTTACAGTGAAGCAGTATTTATGTTTGATTGAGCCTTTGAAGGTGCTCAAAACCTTTTTGTAGACCGGAGAAGCAGCTGATTTCTTTGATGTAGATGCCGGAGTCCGTTTTTCTTTCGGTTCTTTCTCCTGGAAGATCTCGTAGCCTACCCAAATAGAAACCAGCTTGTGAACCTCCTCTCCGCCACTTGTATCTTCGGGACTTGTGTTTTCAGCAAGGACTTGGGTCTTGGGTCGGACCCTGAGTTTTCGTTTTTCAGATAGTTTCTCCGGTGGACGGTGCATGACTTCAGTGTTGGACTCCCAGTGCCTTGGACTCTGGTAAGAAGACACAACCAAGTCTTTCAGTTCAAAAAGATGGAATTCATAATGATTTGATTCGAAAAGAGACTGACCTTTAATATATCTTCTGGAAGGATTGCAGAATAATCGTCTTTGGACACTACTGGTTTGAAAGCAGCACCTTCTCTTTTCACATCAACATCGGTTTCTTCTTTTTCAACTCGTGGGACTTTGATGGAGTCGTCCTTTGGTTTACGTGCAACAATCACCGGTTCTAATTGCATATCATACGGAAAAGGAGTTTGATTGGTCAAATGAGACTTTCAATCCTCAGTAGCTACAAAATGAATAGACAAACCTATGTCAGAGTCGCTCCAATGAGATGGTCTTCTTGCTGGCTTTGCTCGTGGTCGTGGTGGTCGTGCTACTTGGGATGATTGAAATGGTCAAGGTAATTGAGAAGGTCGAGGTAATTGAGAAGGTCGAGTACTGATATTGGTGTTAAAAATTCATGGTCTTCAATGTCAGACTCAGATCAATCAACAAGGATCAAGAATGAAAAGGAGAAATCTTACCTGGAAGAGCGAATTGCAGCTGGTTGGGCTTCCTTACCAATCAAGCTATGGTCATCAACCCTGTATCCAACATTATTCAAAGAGTCAGTTTGGAAAACATAGAAACGAAGTACAAATGAAAGACCACTGACCTATGAAAAGCCTCCTTATGTTTGGCTGGTATGCCATAATGAAGCTCTGGCTTCGCTTCAGAAAAATTACAAGGTAAAACAGGCTTCTTTGATGATTCAATCACAACATCAGAATCATATTCAACTTCAATCTCAGAATCATAAAAAGGGGAAGAAGGACGTTCAGAGTTCTCATCAGAGGATGTATGAGTTTTCTTCTCTTTGCCCTTTTTGGGCATCTTGGTGAGAAGTTGAGAACGAGATAGTGGGAACTGAAATTGAGGTGGTAATGAGGATGAATTCAATTTGGTATCAGTGCTACGTCATTGAATATCTCACGCAAGTGACACCAGTACTTAGTAATGGTACCAGTTGGTTACTTCTGGTTCATATTACCATATTGAGAGAAATATGATGGGCTTATGAAAGTGTTTTTTTGTTGCAACATCGGATTGCTGTGCTCACCAAAGACTCAATAACACATCCACCACCAATGAAAGTCACTAATTATTGTTTTTCTACAAAATCAAAAGCAAATACAAAATATTGAAACAGCAAAAGCAAATCTGACTGGTCCAAGCTTAACAGGACCAGCTGTAACTTATAGATAAACTCATGCATGTTTTTGGGCATGTTCTACCTCCTTAGGGCATTTACCTGCTAGTGAACCTCATGCCACATGTGTTGCAACTGACGATGAGGAAAACCACTTGACTAAAACTGGCAGCCACATTTCTAATGATATTCAAAGTAAGTTATGACATCTCAATAGTCTCATGCTCACAATTCTGATGGTAATTCTCCTTAGTCTCAGAAGACCTTTCATTAAAAAAATGTACTGAAGTCACAGAGGTATCAGAATACACACTTGATCACGTTGAAAAGACGGATTCTCATCTGTCAGAAATCACCAAAGAGCATATTTTGCAGATCACATCATCTCAGAAACTGGATGTCGAGGATGTTGGTATGGCACATTGAATACCACCTGTCACACATTTTCAACACTGATCCTGACCCCTGATTGCATGCTGGCCACATAGTGAAATTACTATCCAATGAGATTGAAAGTTTACCATTTGCAACAGAAGATGAAGGTAAGCCCTCAACTTACACTTGTACCCGTATTCTTCAAGAAATTGAGAGTAAGTACTCTCATTTCGTATGTCTGATGATGATTTTCTCTAGTTCCTGAAACTCACGGGCCTGAAAAGAGATGCATGGCAGTGGCAGTGAAAATCATTGCAGACGTTCAATATGACATGGTCATGACAGCATACGCCGGGTCTGATGTTGAGATGATAGACTGTGGACACATTGAAACAATTGTCAACTATGGTGGGGAGTGATTACTTTAGACCTGTTGACCCTTGTATATATTGTGATCAGCTGTACATATGGTCTTTTTCATTGTATCATTTCATATCCCTATGTACAAAACCCTTTCTACACAACAAATGAAAAGCTTCACAACCATCAGAACTACTTAGTGAGAGTGGAAGACTTCTCTAGAGAAGGTTTCCCAACATCTTTCAACAGCACATCCAGTCCATCGCCTTCCATTTGGTGGTTTTCAGTCAAGCACGCTGTGGGAGAAAGCAAATCGCATGAGAAAAACACAGAACCTCAAGGACAACATCAAACCAAACTCACATAAAATTTCCTCTTGTTTCTTCAATTGAGAAATCACTGTGGTCTTTGCTGCACGGAAGTAGGCACTGTGCTCTCTTATGTAGTCCCTGATCTGTTTGATCATCTCTTGCTTGAGGAGCTTTGAGGAATGCTTCAGTCCTATAACCTGCGCAATCAAGGTTTCCGGATCTCTCTCCAAGACTTCTACATAGGTACACAGTAACATTGGTTCAGCAAAGCCGGCAGTGCCGTAAACTCCAAGCTTGCCTCACTTATGGACTGCTTCAAGTCTTCCACTTGCTGATGATGGCCATCGGAAGACAAAATCTTGGTGTTAGGGGAGGAACTCGGGGAAAAACTAGCCTCTGAGTCCTCAACCAGGGAATCATCAAATTCAACAAAACATGAGTCATAGCCTTCTTCAGTTGAGCTTGCATCTTCAGTATTAGAAGCCTTTTTGGAAATATCAAAACATCAATATATGTGAAGTAAAGTTTGATAGATTTGGACTTACTCCGAGGGACTCTTATAAATTTTCACTTCCATTGTCCTCTAGGCCAGTAGGTTCTCCTTCAATGCCATGTAGATCAAGATCAATTCATGAAAAGGAGTCATGAAGAAGATGTGAATTAGTATATTATTCTCCCCATAGGAGTTAAAATGGCCCACCATAAGGGTGTGATGTTGAAGCAACCTGATCAACCTTGAGTTGGGTGGGAATTTCAGCGATTACAGCTGCGGCAAGTTCCAGAAGTCAAGCTTTGAGCATGCTCTTTGTGACCCGCACATCTTTTGGGGGGTATTTGCTGAGGAACGCATGTAGAACTTTCTCAGTTGTAGTGGAAGGGTAGGGGTTAAGATACATCTTTAAGAGTTTGGTGAGTGGTGCAGAAAAAAAGTTCAGTTTGAAATGTTGGACTGTATATACATGAGGAGGAGGTAGAGTGATGTGGATGTGAATCAAAAAATCACATCCAACCTGAATATTTGACTCAATAACTCAAGTTGGTCCTACTTGGTCTTTTGCACTGTCACGGTCACCACGTTGCTGCTCTTCAGACAACTACATATCACAGAGACACCAGGACAGTCCCCTTGATGTGTTGTTCATGCTCAACCTGTGATTCAAAGGAAATATTGACCCTATGTTCTCAGCCCAATGTGGATTGGTAAATTGACCCTTCATTGTCAGCTCGTCAAGACTTGATAACTATGTCTTCACTGCATTCACTCAACCCTTCAACAACTGGTCACTGGGGGTTTAATTCTACCTTCATTAACAATCTTTGAGCCCTTCATTACATATTCAAGGAGGAATGAAACATTTAATTAACAACCCTATCAACATTACATCATGAATTACAAGATACATATTTGTAGTATCATGAGGTTTTTGGCCCAAGATATTTTATCTGAGAGATACGGCCATCTAGTCAGAGCAGGGTAACTTGTTAACATTACATTTGAGATTCACGTCTTTCAAAGATTAGACTGTGGCTGAGAGACAAAGTGAGAGAGATGTGGTTTGGAAGTTACGTGATTGACAAAGAAGATGAAGAATAATAGAAGCATAACACCATGAACAATTGAAGATGAAGTAGAGATGGTGCCAAGGGAAAAATAGTATACCCATGAGTTATATGTGGATGTCAAAACCGCAGCAATGCATCAGAGTGTGGCAAAGATGTCGCTGAGGAATGTAAATTGAGAGACCTGCAGATGGGGTCAATACTATAAATATGGGGCATCGTGGAGCGGAGTAACGCACCATTACATCAAATTGAAGTGTTTCTATATCTTTGTTGATGATGTTTCCATGAACCCAAATGGCGGATCCAGCGGTGATATGGGGCCAGAATCGGCCGAGGGGAGTCGCATGTCCAAAGCAATAGACAACATTAAACATAAGGCGATTCTGGACCTGACTCAAGGTGTCAGTACGTGTAACGTTTTGTAGCGGAACAAAGCACAAACGAGGGGATCATAATATTCATGACTGGCTGTGAAAACCATGCCCCCATCGGGCCCATTAGGTGGACTGTCTTTGAGGTAGAAAGATACATCTTTGGCGACCCCAGTGAGAGTTGCTCGACCCGCAAGTGCGACATTGGAAAGATTGGAGTCAGTAACGTCGACGTGATTGAGGCAAGTGTGTTTAATGGAAACTAAGACAGTGACACTGTCCTGACCAAAAGGGCCAGAGATTGAATAAATGGGGTCAACCTGAAGGGTACCTGTTCACAGGAGCAACAAAACCAAGAGTTTCAAGTGGCTTGGGTATGGCGTGGCCCTCGGTGTCAACAACGGTAAATGACCCATGGTTTTCAAGCCACGTCATTTGTCCACTGTTCATGGCGAAGGACTGAAAGAACATGTAAGTTTCAATTCAATGTCAATGAATGGAGTGACTGACAGGAGAAGTTACGGTGACGACTGCATTGATGATGGCGTAGTAAGTCATGCTGGATTGCAATGGAACAATATAAAATAGAGAGTAGGTTGTAGTACATTGGCATTGCCAACATACGTGATGCAAGTTTTCATATATCAGTTCTCAAATGACGCCAACCCAGTGTTTGCAGGCTGGACAGCCGGGATGGTCCGGTTGAATTTGTGTAATGACCTGCCATTGGCGCGGAAACTGGAACAGGCAGCTGCCAACGACAACATTGGGAGCAGGAGGTAGGTATCATCAGAACTGCGGTGTGGTCTCAGTCAGCGAGGATACAGGGCAATGGTGTGCTGCGTGAATGTAGCTTTGTACTGAGTCACGGGACAAGCCGCACTCTTGACTTAACTAAATGCCACCCCTGAGACCGACTCCAGAAATTCAAAAGGTCTCTTGTTATTCAGGTCTAATATTTCATTGTTGATCAAAATTTGTTGACAAGGATTAGTTCAACTTGATAGAGTGCAGAAAGATTTGAACTGGATGAATAAGAGGAAAGGAGATATGAAAGGATTTGTTAAAAACCCAATCAAAAGACAAAAAATAAAGTCAGAGAGGGTGGATTTTGGAGGAAAAACAATTACCAATGATCAATTGAACACAGTCAAACACCAAGCATGACATGTAAAGGTGTTACAACATGAAATTTCACTCTACAAACAGCAGAGTAGTTACAGGAATGCTTCTCTAAATCCACTGATTATTAGATTCTAGGTTTCTTGTGTGTTTGACATTTACTTATAATCTCATAAGCATAATTTTCTACTTTGGATGACTTCAAAGTAAACACCATCCAAGTAATAGTGCAATTTTTCTAGAGCCCAAACCAGAGCTAAAGCTTCTAACTGCGGTGAACCGTACCTGGTTTCACTATCTTTTAATTGTTGAGATATGAAAACTATTGGTCCTTCTCTAGATTTTCCATCCACAATTTGGACTTGGTGTAATGCAGCACCTAAACCTTCAAATGAAGCATCTACGTATAGCTTGAAAGGTTTTGTGAAGTCTGGTTGTATCAGAACTGGTGCTTCTGTTATCATTTTTCTAATTTGATTCCACGCTTCTAACCTTTGTTTTGTCATTTCGAAGGCAACACCCTTGGATGTCAGCTTATAAAGACAATTTGCAATTTTCCCGTAGTCTGGTAGGAAATTTCTATAGTAACTTGCAAACCCAAGAAAATACTGCATCTCTTTGATGTTTTTGGGCGGAGGTTTATTCAGAACTGCAGTGGTTTTATTCTGATCAACTGCTATCCATAGTCATGATACCAAGTGCCCCAGAGCTTTAACTTCATCAAACCCAAAGTTTGACTTCTTCAACGAAATTGTCATTCCCATTGCTTTGACTTTTGCCAAGACTATTTCTAGCCCTTTGAGATGTTCTTTGAAATCATCATGGAAAATGATTATATCATCAATGAAGATTTTTAACCATCCTTCTCTCAATTCTTTGCTGAACTCAATATCCATCATTCTTTGAAAGAACGCAGGTGCATTCTTTATACCGAATGGCATTCTTACAAACTCAAATATCCCCATATGACAGATTATTCTGAGATACTAGCAAATCGGCGGCGGGCGCCGCGGCTAGATTTATTCATATATGTTTCTGCTAGGTTGAATTGAAGCCTGTGATGAAACATTGGGATATCAAATAAGCATTCGTAGCTACCAATCAATATTAAAACATGATCAAACCTACATGTGGAATCAAGAAGATTTGGTTTTTGATGCTTGATGGTAGACGAGGAAAAAGACCAATCTTTTGAGATCAACTTTTGGGCAGATGTCTTATTATTGACCAATTTTACCCATCATGACATTCTCAAATGCGACTTTACGATGCTTCACTTTCAAAGTCAATTCCATTATCCCTCACTTGATATGTTTTCATTTTGCAAGGGTATACTCTCTTAATACGAGTTACCTGACTTTGCGTGTGTTTTTGAAAGACGATCAGTGAAAATCTTTGTGCATAAACACAGGTAAGTATTAGTTGTATTCTATCAAACAAAAACAGACGCAGGTTATCAATTTTCTAGGAGTCATCACAAGGTTACAGGTATCATTTGCGTGGTACAATCAATTCATGAGTACAGGATGATAAACTATATTGTTTGTCATTAAAGCCTCTGAGTCTGATGTTATACATACGTGGACATTTGATGCGTTTGTACAACGGGATAGGGCCACATATAGCTGACCGTGAGTAAACACAGGTTCTGGCAGCAAAACTGTTACCTTTTCTAAACTCTGACCTTGACTTTTGTTTATCGTCATGCAGAATGCTGCCATAATAGGGAATTGATATCGATTAAAAGGAATAGGGCAATCGTCATTACCCTCATGATTCAATTTCATCTTTGGTAAACTGACCGCTTGGCCTTTTAATTCACCAGTCAGGATTCGACATTGAAGTGCATGTTCTGCAATATGGGTGATCAAAAGTCGGGTACCGTTGCAAAGTCCATCTCCTATCTGTAAGTTACGTAAGACCATCACCGTACCGCCCACTTTCAATTTGAGAACATGACACGGAAATCCTGGGAAATTGAAAGCATTGAGGATGTCCGGAGATACTTCTTCAAAGAAGGCCTCATCCATAGTGTCCGTCGAGACCGAAGTGCGATACATACCAGGCAGTGAATCCATCATAAAACTGTTAAGGGTGTTGACTGTGGCATTCAATGGCGTTATTAAGCAGCGAGATGCATATAGATTGGTAAGTGCGGACCAATCTTGGGCATTGATCAGAGCCCGAGTCGCATTGTATTCGGCTTCAACTAATGTATGATCGAATTGCGTAGGCGGTTGCAGAACTGATACATTGCAATATAGTAATAAAATCTCTGATACGTAATCTTCCTGCAAAGCCCCTGATCCAAGGTCGAGCAACCATTTCGCGAAGTTGATGTTCATAGGGTTTTGGCGAACGTCAAGCCCCCCCAGTCTTATGTTGATTGTCAAATTGAACTTTTGAATCAGGTTCCATAGGGTTGAAGCTTTTAAAGTAGCATTTGCCTGATCAAGCAAGCTTCCCCTTCTGACAATTGGCAAAGTTTGTCGGAAATCACCTATAAACAGGTTTCCCATCAGCGTTCTTGAATAATGGTATGGAATTAGTGACGTGATCATGATTACACTTTACATACCTGCGAACAACACAACTTTCCCCCCGAAAGGAAGGTCCACACGGGTTAAATCCCGGAAAGTACGGTCGACACACTCGATTTGGTGTCTGTGTTGCATACCTATCTCGTCCCAGACCACAAATCTCACTTCTCTTAGCGCCTGTCCCAGCAAGGAATTTGGTAAAACCGGACAGACCGAGTCATCGAAGACAGGGATGGGGATTTTGAATGCACTGTGCGCAGTGCGTCCATGTAAAAGCAACAGTGACGCAATTCCCGCGGCTGAAACTGCTTGAAATTGAATTCCATTCCCGTTGCAGTAATGCAAGATCGTATTCAGTACATAGGTTTTGCCAGTCCCACCCGGACCGTCCAAAAACCCCAAGTACGACCTTTCCTTGTTGATTGCATCACAGAGAGACTCAACTACATTACGTTGTTCCATTGTTAGTTTTTGACTCATCGATTCGTATTTCGTTCGACTCTCGGCAGGATCAACAAAATGCACTCGATGAATCCTTTCGTCGTCCGGTAAACCAAGCTCTAGAAGTAACTGTTGGTCTACCGGTATTAGGCCTACAGCTTCAAGGCTACTTTCCATGGCGATGAGGGTTTTCTCAAGTAGAAACAAGGCATAGTTTTGAATATGATTCACGCTAGGTTGTATATCAGGATTCAATCTTTGAAGGCGTCGTTCGCAATCGTCTGATAAGTCCGAGATATGCTCAGTCCACAGTTGGAGTGGATCCGCTGGCGCACTGTGGCACAAGATAATCGCTAGCATTTGTCGAAGCTGGTGTCCTGTTTTCCATATGGCGGCTTCGGCTAGTGACAAATGGTAATGTCTATCATTTAACAATGAACCGTGTTTGTCCGCTGCTTCTCGAAAAGAATTGTACCGAATTCCATTCACGGTTCGCAGTGCAGCGAAAGATGTTGGTCCCACAATGTGCTGTAATAATAGGCGCAAGTAATAAACTTCTCCTCGTCTTACACCTGCATGGTAAATTCGACCTATTGATTGAAGTTTGTTCTTTCTAGGTTGTAAGCGTTTTGTTGTTTTTACCCATCTGAAATACTTAGGCACTTGCTGATACTTCAAGGTTCGGATAGTCAGTTGTGATTTAGGCAGTTTACAGTTTTCGGCACAGAGTCGGAAGAATTCGGTTAAGGTTGTCCTCTCAGCTCTTCCGGTGTCCATTGCTCTCCTAAGACCTGCCTCATCCAGGTAATAAACCGTCTGTGCGTCCTCAAGGTGCAAATTCAACCTCTGTACCGCCGGGTATCTACCTGATAGTTCGTATTGGAGAAGTCTCCACACCGCTAAAGAAAGGAAATCAGAGTCAGGCTTCTTTGAGTAATTAGTTAGGTGCTTACCTTCAGGTGCACTGAGGAAACGCGCGTTTAAAAATGCCAGTATCTCATCCCTATTATCTGTTTCCTGAACATTTGCCATCGTGCGATCATGGCCCTTGAGGATGTATTTAAATAAGTACTTTACAGCTCTCAAACTGGCCGCGACCTCGACATTCATATGGCATTGATATTTTAACAGCAAGAAGCGATTATACGGTACCACACTACCGTTGTCAAATCTCGTACCTCCGTTGACTGAGAAGCGACCGTTGCAAGGGCGTTTGTAAGTAGGGTACCTGTTATCTGGCAATGTTGTTGTCTCGCAAAACGGTTTTGGATATCCAATTTTGCATCTTGTTCCTGTCCAAAATTTGTATCTGGGACACGGTCCATGTAACATATGATGAGTTACAAGGCGAAATAGGTCGGGTTCTTGGTTGGGATCAGGTAGTTGTGCAGAAATTAAGCAATCGACCATCTCGGGTGTTGAGGGTCTAAAGCTTGGATCCAAGAATAGAATTAAGTGAGCGTGGGGCAATCCCCTTTTTTGAAACTCAATATAGTAAACATAAGCTGTGAATTGACCAAGCCGCCCCCACTTCGTCACGTCGGCAAGCATCGCATGAAAACGCAGGTGGAAAGCACGCGCTACAAGGTCGGGTCGGTCGTCTGCCGTTTGATCGTCTTCCAGTGCCTCAGTAATTTCACTCCACTGTGGGTTCGCAGTCATTGTTATGAAAAGACTGGGGTGCCCAAATTCTGCAACTAAGCTCATGGCATCTTGGTAAAGAGCCTGCATATTACGTGGACCACCTACAAAGGTTGAAGGCAAAACCACTCGCCGACCAACAACTTCGTCCTCAACTTCATTTCCAAACGCTTCGACTATTCCGCTGTATAGTTCGGCTCGAAGTTCTCTTTGATGAAATCGAATGAAATTTAAGCGAGAGTGTTCTACGCAAACATACATATCGACCACAAACTCTTGAAAAAGTCGTCCTGACGCAAGAATTACCGAATAAGTTGGCCGTTTGAAAAGAAGAAAAGCGAACCACTTGAGGCAGGTGACGGTTCCATCAGGGTCTAAACGGTGTTAACAATAGTCAGTATCAATTTGACTTTGCAACTATGGAGAAGATTCAGTACCATCCTCCGTGGGATTAGTATAATTGTCATGCCACATATGAGACCCGTAAGGAAACAACAGGGGATAACGTAAGGCGAAGTAAGCCATATGGAGTTCGGAAATTGACTCCAATCTGCCCGACTGACGTCTTAGGACAATATCACAACCATAACGTCCGATTTCCCTGTCACCCTCGATTATTGCGGCAACTTCGTTTGCAGTGGGTCTATTGTATCGTCGATGATCGGTCCCAGGAACTGTCAGCGTGTTAATTCTAAGAGTGCGAACAGGTCCGTCACTGTTGCAGATTTCGGCCGCTGATTGGTACATCTCAGCGTAAGGATTGACGTCATACATGAAATTCTGAAGCTGCAACATAATCTCGACCTCTAGATGTGCTACCCTGGTACGTTCAATCCTTAGACGCGCCTCGTTTTCACCCCCGCATCCGTAGATGTATAGTTGGGCAAATCCAGGATGATTTTCGGGTAACGGCATCAGTGATCCTATCAAATGAAACATTTGGCCTTGGATTCGGAAGATAGAATGACCCCGTTGGCCTAGGACGCTGGCATCGATTTGGGCTCCAAGAGATGTGAAAGATAGGCCATTGTTATACTTTTGAATGTTTTCACGAAAGCTTCTAGATCCTAAAACATGGAGGTCAATGAAAGACATTATATGTGCCAGAATATAACTTACTGTCATCATTATCACGCAAAAGGGCCTTATAGAAATCTGGGACTTGCTCGCCGACATCTTGCGGAAAGTATCTCAAAGGTAGATCTACCTGACTGTGGTTGCAACAATTTCGAAACGTTGTAGCCAGAGCATTGGTGTCCTTGACCCTCTGCTCACTTTTCCACCTGCAAGCGTGACATCCGGTGCATTGGTCCGTTTGAGGTCCTAAAGAAAAAGGTATTTCATTTCGAAACCGGTGGCGTAAATTGGCCTCAGAACCGAAAGCTTCAGCATGTACGGCAAGTCCATGGTTTTGCCGCCGCGGAGCCGCACGTCGTCGGGGCATAAAGACGGCGACTCCTTGAGCGGATTAACGATTTTGACAAAGAGATCGCAACACCCAACAAATAATATAAGTATGATTTAGGAGCATATTGAGGCCAAGCTCGATCTATTGAAAACGTACTTGAATACGAAGCACAATTGCTATTTTTGAAGAAAATGCTTGAGTAGTACAAAACTTTGTTCTAAGTGTTTTCGAAAACAGAAGGAGCCAAAGACAAAGAAATGAGCTACAATACGAAGATTATTATCTGAGATGAGACTACCGAACACCTATGGACGCCGCAAGCAGAACTCCTTGGCTCTGGGTTTGATCCAGAGTGCTACAAGGTGAAAACCTATACAAGATAATTCACAAATTTGAAGGCCATCTTTGCGCTTCAGATTAATTTGCTTCACATTCGAGCTGTTCACAAACAAGGATTACGAAAGAATCGATAAGCGAACTCTTTGCAAAAACCATCAAAAAATTATACCCACTTTCCGGGGTAGATTCGTGTTGAATGCCGAGAGCCACATAGTTCCAACGGTGAAGCTCAGCTCACAATGAAGTATCTTAAAAATCACCTGTCATATTCTCGTGCCGCAAATTGAACTCAAGATTTATATCAACACACAAACGTCGAATTTCGATATCACAGCATCGTAAATGTACTATCGTGAGGCTTGAGTTGTTTCATTCTCTGAAAGCCGATTATGACTCAGGGTTTTGTAAATCCACGGTGAGTATCTTGGTCAAGTTCATTCGCTTTCAACAGGCTATTTTCGTCTGTTTTTTTTTCTGTATATACCTAGATCCACCGAGCAAAACTTTGTGCCCAAGTTACCCGTGGTTAATATTTGATCGATGAATATGAATTAGTGTAAGCTTTGCAGTCATGATTTCGATAATGTGCTTGCAGTAGCGTCTCCTTTTAATGGAAGCCATTTGGTTTGCAGTGTTGATTGCTGGTTTCTTTCACAGGCCAAGTCCGATCTGTTTAACAATATCAAGTGAACACAATATGCAGATTGTATTTGGGTTTCGGAAACGGTAACAATATCAAAGTAGGAGACATATATGCCCCAGTATTGATGGAATAGGAAAGTTACCAGCGACAACTCTGACGTCTCGTTCGCCAGGTTGTACGGTGAGTATGAAAAGAAGGATTTTCAGATTGTAATCCACCGTTCAGACCTCGCTTCGGTTGGCTTTGTATGGTTATTTCCCGGGTGTCGTCAGTGTTATCGGGTTGGTTGACCAGATTTATGTTGAAATTGATTTTATACTGTCATTTTGAACTTCATTACCAATTTATCATTTGGATGGTTCATCGGCGATAATTTTATCTTGCGGGTTGGAATCAAATATCTGTCAAGAATTCGAGGCCTTTCAAATTCTATATAAGTCTCTGCTATTGTTGCCCAGAGTCTCTACCTCTGTTCGTAAAACAATCGATCATCCAACTAACAATTCATATCAAAATCTTCACAACCTTCCATATCCCCACCGTTTTCCTGCATAATGGTCGTTTTCAATTTTCCAATCACTCAATCTGAGAAAAATATTCCTGAATCCTATCAAGTGCATAATATCAATGAAGAGAACGCTCGAATCATGTATGAGTATTACAAAAAGACTCACTTAGATGTTGCTAAGTATTGTGAAATCCATGGGTGGATGTGTTACTGTTGTATCATCGATTTCGATTCCCGACGGGCCTATTTCGAGTGCGCGCCAATCCATTTAAACCAGGCTATGCCTTTCTCTCTTGGGCTGACTTCGGATCATCTGTGGCAAAGTCTTGGTGTTTGTTGTGTGCCAGTGTATGGACAAAAGTATGTTACATTAAACACATGTTTCCGGACCTCAGCATTCAACTCATAATCAATTCACACTGTAGTGATCCGGGAACTATCTTACCCGTGGATTGTAGGTTGTTCTCCATTTTGTGTTACGAACTTCGAGGCTGACCATTAACTCACGTTTTCCAGCGACCGATATGAACGTTGAACCACATACTCAATGCCTCCATGGTACCGAGCACAATCCAATATACGGTGTTAAGTGTTTTGCGTTCGAGTACCAAAAACGTGGCCTTCCTCACGTGTATACTATATTGGTATCTGGAGAACCTACCAGTGTTGTTCGCAGCGTGCAAATCAAGAGTAAACTTTGATTCACACTTCTTGCTCAAAATCCGGATTTCTTCGACACGTTTTGTGTGAGTTGGAGTTTATTTCTTTGTGCGCACATCGGGTTCAATGACAAGTTCAAGTTGTTGTTGTCGCAACCAGTCAAATTCTGTTTTTCTGATTTGATTTGTTTTTTGGCTCTTCATAGTTCATAGCAATTCGGCACAGAGTAAAAAAGTAAATTAAAAAGTCGATGCCATCTGGGCGTCCTCCAGGTTACCAATTGGTTTTCAATCTCGATTCTTTTTTTCTAAAAAATTACCATTTGTTGACTTCTAGTTTCTGATTCATGTTCATGGAACAAAAAAAAGCGAATATGAGACTGTTAATGTTTTCTGGAACTGTGTGTTCAGAGCACGCTACAACACTTTAGAGGAAACAAATCATATTTAACAATCGTGCAACCCTTGAATCTGTAAAACATGATATCAAAGTCTTTTTAGCTTGAAATCAATTTCTTGCCGATAACATTTCACTACTTTTTGTTTGTACAATTCCCATTCTTGAGTTGTTTTCCCTTCCCTCATCAAGAGTAGCCCCTCAATCCGATTGAGCAAGGCTTCGTTAATCTGCAGTGAACATCCAAAGCGGGTAATGGGTGAATTTTTCGGAGCAATTGAGATACAGCCTTCATCGTAAGTAGTTGAGGGTGAGGTGTGGTGGATGTCATCCGATGCCCATATGCTTTCGATCACGCCGTCGCAAAGATCAAGTGCTAATTCCACGTGATACTCGTCAAGAATGAAATAAGTTCCAGTAGTGTCTCCTAGATAGTCTGAGGTCTCGACTCGGTGAAGTTTTCCTGTAGCACGTTCAATTCGAGCGAAAATAGCATATGTGTAAGCGGTGACATCACGATCAAAATGTGGGTTATTGTTGAATCCGTCACGTGTGACGACTACACTTGATGCAAATATGTTGGCATTTGGCGACTTTGACCATTCTTCATCCGAAAACAAGGGAATCTCATACTTTATAGCTAAGTTTTGGTTTGATTTGAACGCGTGCATGCAGAGTGACGACATCCATTCAGCTAGCGTTTCATTGATCAGAGCTAGATCAAGCATTCTTTCTTGATCTTCGAAGATTAATTCTTCACTCTTTCCAGTTTTTGCGTTTAGAGCAGTCACCCCTGAGAAAGTAACATACCAAATGTTAACATTGCTTTGCTCTTGGGCTATACTATTGATACATTTAGTCAATGAACTTAACCCATTTTACGACCCTTATCAGATCCAGGTCTGAATCCAGCCATTCTCATTTCCCCCCAATCAATCAAACCCCGAACTGAACCGTTAATTTCTACTTTCCCTTGTGCCAATGTATGTTGATACAACGTTTGAATGACAAAATCCATGTCCTCTCGTTTTTCCTTCTCCATGTCCGCGAAAGTGATAAAGCGATTGACCTGGAGAACTTTCCAAGTGTCCGCGTCAAGTAGAACGGAATTGCCAAAGCTGATCCTTAGACGATGTTTCGTGGGCAGAGATTTGAGGTCATGTTTCTTCAGGAAGTACAAACGCGAGTCCTTTGGTATACCAAAGCGTTGACTGAGTTCGGCGCGCAACGAATCAAACTCCACTTCTCGCAAGTCATTGCGGTTAGGATGGTTGCCGAGTTCGACTTTAGCTTTGAGTTTAGCTCGGAGTTTGCCCCTGATTTTATCTTGTTTTATGTTGTAGTTTTGACTGCTGGTGGAGCGGCTTTGTTCGGATTTTATGTTCGTTCGATTCTCAATTCTGTAGTGGAGATGTCAAAGCAGGGTATTGGATAGTTCCGATTCAATTTCAGATTGAATGCCAATACTTGTCATGTTGTTCAAGAGCGCATGCTGAATGTAAAACTTACGCATTATCAATTACTTGAGTCGCCGAGACTTGCACTGATTTTACAAAACAAAGAAATACGTTATGTCAGCACTAAGGTATGATGATTGAAGAAGAGGAAAGCAGACGTCAAAGAGATTTGTCGCAAATGAAATAAAGAAAACGCAAATATTGAGAGAATCAAACATTGTGACTTTCAAGACTACGGTTCCATCCCACCTTTGGAAAGAGGATCCTGTTATCTCGTATGGTCACAATGCCAAAACCACAGGTACTGAACATATGATGTATCGAAGGATCAAAATCGAAAAATTGACAACAATAAACATGAACGGTACTTACTTGGAAAGTGATTTGATTTAGCAACTTGGTGGTCTCGAGAGAAAAACGGTACCTGGTTTCAAAGAAAGGCAAAATCGGATTATTCAATATGATTTGTATTAGTGTAGTATATGAGAGAAAGAAAGATTTGATGCCTTGGTGCTCAAGACCCCAAATTCCAAGTATCAATTCAACGATAAAAGACAACATTATGTTATTTGATGACAAAACGAACGTTGCATACCAGGTGTTTAATTCTGAATGTGATGCTTTCGATATTGATAGAAGAAGGCCAATCTAGACGTCGAAGATAAGCGAATGATATAAATTCAAGCGGGACACTGTTCGTTTTCGAGGTTAAAGTTTTGGGCGTAGGTCAAGGCAAAAGTTTCAATGGGAGTTTGGAAAATTTATGCCCCCGCGGAACCAAGCCCGACCCGTTTCACAGGTTCAAACTTAAGAACCCGGGCTCACATCCATTCGCTCTCGATCGAGCTCGATATGTATAAAGGTTTGAATACAGGTTTGTAGGGCCTGGATTGGTTCTCCGCTTTCCAAGTTGACTACTTAAAGTAATAGACTTCAATGTTTTGCAAGTATTTGATTTGTTTAACATAACCTCGGTTCGGGCCAGTCCTGAGGCCAAGCAGTTCTTGGGGAATGGTCTCAAACTGTTTGCCAATATAGAAGTTTGGTAAAGTGATTCCAGATATTAGGAAGTCGCGAAAGGCCATGCCTTGGGTGGACGAATATTGTTCATTGACCGCAAGTATTTTGCGAGCAATGTGCAGCTTCCGTTGCAGGTCAAGGGCATAAGGTGGATTTTTGGGCCTTTGTAAAGTGTCAATTGAAAACACTTGCACAACCTATTTTAAATTGTACAGCAGACAAAATTTAAAAGTTATTCTAGTATGATCCACATTCAAGTTCAGTATAAAATGTGCCGATAAAGATGTTACCCAAATCTGTGATACAGCTAGAATCTAAAATATGGGTGTACTAATACGTTACGTGTTTTGATTAAAATGAGAGACAATTGGAAAGTCGAGTACAAAGTTTGGGCATAGATTTAGCACACGTTTTAGAGATTATCTCAAAACTATGATATGGGGGAGTAAAGCTAAGAATTCATATTATAGTGATTGAATTGGGTGTTGGCATTACACTTGGTGCACGTGACCACACATACTCAGGTACTGTGATGCAAAACCACCACATTTACGTGGTCAAGTCAAGGGTTGTGCTGCTCGAAGTTCTGCGTGCCGGACGAGCTCGGGCCCTTTTCTTAGGCGTTGAGGTAGTGGCCCGTTTTTTGGTGGCGGGCATTGTGCTGAGTGGTTCTTCTGATTCACTTTCCGAGCCCGACTCCTCAGCAATAGGACAATCAGCAGGTTGAGCTTGTTTGCTAGTCATAGAGTTTCGCGCAATGACCGGTGATTTAAAGGGGGCCGTGACTGGTCTTGGGGCAAATCTAAAGTGGATTCACATGAGGACGATGGATTTCACAGCTGGTAAGAATCCGAGAAAATGCTTACTTCTTGGGTTTCGGACGACCGGAACCATCGGCACTGGCCTCCTCTTTTACTGTTTTTTCTTCAAATTCGCGTGTGTCGCGGTGGCCACAAGTAGTGGAGACTCGGTTTGCCTGTTATTAGAGTTTCATTAACATGGTAAAATCAAAGAAAGATCTGGCAACGTACAATGACAATGTAACAACGAGTTTCTTTGTTAAAGTCTGTAATGTACCCGTGGAACAGAGCTTCACGCCCTAATTTGAGAATTCGAGGAATTCCCGAAAGGTATTTGTAAGGTCGCACCCGGTACTCAACGTAAAACGTTGGTGCAGGTTTAATCTTTAAAGAACCATGTGGGTTACTTTTGCAAGAAAGGATTTGGAGATTTGGGAAACAGGGTACTAACGGTTGGGTGATAGTCAGTATGTTTCACAGTCACAACCATTGTTTTGGGGTCCTCCGTCTCATTTTTGTCACGTAGAGTCTTGCAACATTCTTCAACCATGTATCCGAGTTTGCTTACAATGCCGAGACCCGTGACACCCACAGTGTTAATAACTTCACCTTTGAACTCCTCGGCTGGTCCAATAAGTGCATGGTCAGATCCTTCGAAGTACAAAGAATCATTCTCAGTTTCGACGGTGTTGGTAGGAAAGAAAAGACCTCGGAGGAAGTAGATCTTTTTGTCGTCGAGTGCGAGAGAAGGTGAACTGTAACCAATTGCCCTAATTTCGTATCGAGTTTCTTTGTCGCGGTCAGCTCCTCCGCAGTTGACAAACACAACGTAGCTGCGGTAACCCGATTTGTGTCCAAGTTCTGAAGGGACCTGTTTTGTAAGAGATACATGTCATTGCGTATACAAAGCTGTCTATACACCAAAGTTGGACTGCACTTACTTTGGCTTCGATTTCAAAATTTCCGGAGAAATATACTCCATGTCCCGTTGGCTTGTTAAAATCATCTTTGGCCATCTGCGGTCTGCGAGGAGATGTCGTTTTAAGGAAAATGAAGAGATTACGGAATAGGTCAGTTGTAGCCACACAGAGACGTTTCATGTGGAAGTGAAAGGAAGCTGATACAAATTGTACAGAATATCGAGTACGATTTGACCGAAAAGACCCTTAGGTGGGAGACAACTTTTATTATTGGCTTGTAAAACGTGGGGACAATATTTCGTAGGTGCCAAGTTCTAGTCTAAAGCTGACCAAATGTACTCGATTTATTCTAGGAAGAGATTCGAGGTATATATAGGGTCGTCAGTCACTATGATTGAAAAGAGAGCGTTGCGAGGTGAAGCATTTGAAAATCTCAGCTCGGTTTTGACTCGTTACTCTAGAATTCGCATCTCGCAATTGTGGCCGTGTAAATATGTGGAAATGACACAGAGAATGCACCTTTGTAGTTCTCAAGACAAATTTAATTTCGTATGTGATTTCTTAACACTCTACAGTGTATGAGTATCAATTTGCTGTCTGGCCCAGGTTGCAAACAAGATTCCTGATCATAAAGCAATATTAGTTTATGGCGAGCAGGAAAACACCAATTGAATATTGACATAAACTTACATTGAAATAATAGTGTTCTCTTGTTTCAACCTCGATACCGAGTTCGCCATGCCCGGTGCGAGGTCGTTCCGGTAGCCGAGGACATGGTATAAGGCACTTATCGGAGGATGATAGTTCCTTGCAGTGGAAGGATGGGTAAATGATCTTCGCAAACAATAATATGTCAATTGCTGTGTGAAAGTGGGAGACACCATGGTATGGGACGCAGCTCGCAGAAGTCGTTCTAAGCGGTGGGTAGAGAGGTTCACAACATAGAGGCTAATAAAGAGAAAATCGCGGAATGTGTCTGCTGAGAAAAATAAGCGGTGAGACACACTCAGTTCATTTAAAAACAGACCCTGTTTTAAGATTTTGTTGAAATGAGTCACTTCACAGTGGATCGCTCACCGTAGTTCTCAGCCATTTTCTAATTTGTGACATGCAATATCGAATCAAATTGAAATTCGCACATGATCTCCCTGGTCCAACCCTTATTCGGGTATTCGGGGTCAAAGCGTGACCCAAGGTATGTATTTTCCTTGTCGGGTAATGCGGAGCGTGATATGCCATTGCGAGCTTTGTGTCAAGGGAGTACCGGGGAGGTCCCTGGGTATGACCACAAATAAGAACCGGGCGAGAGTTGAGGATGAATTGTCCAATTTCAAAATTGTATTTCAATTTCCAATTCCTAATGTTTGTGTAATCCCCGTGACATGCAAGGTGGCAGATCAGTGGGTGTTAAACCCGAGTTGAAATCGAAACAATTGATGAATTTCAGATCAAGAAGTGTGGTGGTAACCGAATTCAGAGTTAGATTTGAAAATGTTCCGCGTTGGGGACAATAAATCAAATGTTTGACATTATGCAATAGAAACCATGTACAAATATTTTTCAAAATTGGGCGGCTGTGCATCAGGACCACATTGTGTGCGGATTAACATGAAAGAAGTACGAATCGAGGCGTAGGTGCGCACATATAAACTGAGTGTAAACAATGCGTCATAATGTGATTTGAATTGTTTCCAAGGTGAAATGTTATGACAGGCTCTCTTAGTGATATAGAGACTGATCATGCATATTCAATAGAGATGGTGCCGATGATGTAGTGCTGTGGGAGCGCATTATGAAATTGAAAAGGGTCTGGAGGAAGAAACAAATCAGGAGACAGGCAAATATTGGTATGTGGCCGGAATAAATCACCGGTCTACGTTAATCCTCAAATCGGTTTGGTAGTTCCTGAAATGGTCCACAATGTTACTTTGGGAAATATTCTATGTTAGAAAAAATGATTGGCACGTACTGCAATTTCAGCCCGATTCATTGGCCCCATAAAATGGCATTGGATTCCAATCCCGTTAAAAGCATTTGCCAGAGACGATTTCTCTGTTTCCTCGCCACAAGAAACTATGAAGACTATGTGTTTTAACTTAGGAGGTTTAGCAAATGTGTGCAGGGCGTTAGAATTCAACCTACTGCGCCAGTATATGTTGCCCGACCGGTATGTAGTGATAAAGATTTTAACGGTATTGAGCATTTGCCAACTTAGCCACCTCAGATTTTGTTCTGTCGAATGACAGTACTCGCTTCGCAGGACTTTGAGTCCAGGAAAGATGTGGTTGCGAATTCCGTGCGGGACGCGGTCCGGGATAGAAATGATGAAAAGTGATTTAAGCGTGGTGGTTACACCCAAAGCAATAGGAGCTGTTGGGTCCGGGTTACTCGGTGGAAACATTTCAAGGCAGCTGATTGGTCTTTCGTTTCTACGACATATGTCAATGGCCGCGCGACGGTTTTTACGGTGGCAGGATATGTAGAAATGAGCTAGGTTTGGAAGTGAACCGGGACGTAATCGCATTGATGGCAAAACCGCAAATCTGATGGACAGAGATTCGAGTGAAATCATGCCTTCCAAAAGGCTCTTCAAAGATTGGAAATCATGCGCTTTGTCCGAAGACTGAGAACCTTGAATTGCAAGAGTTTGAAGGTGTGGCACGTTCTGGATCGCGCTTGAAAGGACCGGTGAAAATCCGACAATGTCGACAAAACGTAACTTCAAGTGATGTAAAGATGTAGCGCACAATCTGATGATTGATGCAGCACTTTCTGGCAGGACCGAGCAGGCGTAAGGGTACGGAGAGCATGTTGAGACCACGCCCCGAACCGACTTAGTAGACGGCATGGTGTACCAAATCCCGTCGAGATAAAGATGTCAAAGCTGGGGGAAGCCTGGTGTTATGAACTTTTCTGTCCACATGTTCATGAGGCTCTTGATCATAGGATCGCGAGTCAAACGTAGATTTTGAAATAGAAGGCGTATGATAGCATCACTCCAGGGTCGTCCAAGTAAACGCCATTGGAGAACGCGGGTGACGTAATCGTGCCAAAGTGATGGAGTGTCAGCACTATCGTTCGTGTCGGAGGGTACTAATGGGATTTGGAGAATCACTTTGCTGAGGATGATTTTGACTATTTCAACTGGAAGGTCCTTTTGACCAGATGCCATCGGAGCTTGAACTGGGTAGGTTGAAATGCTGTGATTGATCAAAAGATATCGTCAGTAAAGGATATAATTGCATCAAACACAATGTAAGCTGGTGAGCGCCAAGCGGGATGCGTCTTACGTATTGGTTATCAGGGGCACAAATCACTGTAAATCTAGCAGTGTAAACTTAGAAGATAAAGATGGATGAAATTTCAAAAGGAAATCAAAACCGTAACACCCGATAAAGACTCTGGACCAATATAAGATTGGAACAGGCAGGTATTTATTGGAAGCGATCGTTGGTGGAATGTTGCAGCGAGTCAGCGCGGTGTGCAGGTTTCTGAGCCCAAAAAGTGGAATAATTGAAAAAGGTTCGGAATGGAGGTTGTAATCAGACGTTCAGTAACCGAACTTACAAGAACCGTAGAGCTGTTGAAAAACACTGACGTGTTGGGGTGGAATGTGAATTTGATACCAACACTACTGTAGACTTAGCATAGGATAGTTATCCAAACGTTAGATCAAGGCCAGGCCGCAAGAGCTGAAAGCATCGGTGGGTCAAGATAAAACTGAGGAGACAAACAAACGTGTGGAAAAGTGAATCGTCGGTTTGGTATTAAGGTAGCAAGTGGAGTTCATGAGGTTTTGTTAACGTACGAAGTTGAGGCGTGATATTAAAGATGCCTTGGAAAGATTTGAGAATTCCCGCACCGGAGTGACAACAAATTTGGTCACAAAAGCTGTCCGCGCTGATGTTGTGTCGCAACGACATGCTGGGAAGTCCAAATCGGGTAGTTGATGTTTGTATCTGCTCAGGTTTAGTAGCCGTTGTCTTGTGGATTGAGGCGTCGGTCGATAAATCTACGGAGGGGTAGAGGAAGTAACGATTTCAGTTTTGAATGTCAAACGCATGGAGAGAGAGTTTGAAAGAGCTACATGGTCATAAAGACTGTCCACGGTGGTGTTGTAGCGCAACTATACTCGGTAGTTTGAATCGGGTAGTTAATGGTTCTGTCAGTTCAAGTTTAGCATATGGTTATCTTGTGGTTCAGGAATTGGTTGATAGTCCTACAGAGGGTTAGAAGAAGTAACACATTGAATGTCGAATGTCAATAGTATGGAGAGGGAGTTTGGAAGCTTAATGTGCAGAAGTCAGAGGGTGGGTTTTTGGGTATCAGGGGCTTACGGGGATAAGGGGATACGTAAACCCTTAAGGGGTTTAATCTGGTTTCGCCGAGAAACACGGTCGTGCCTTTAGTTTTATGATTTTCTACTTGCAAGTTCTACTATCATTTGGTGGAAACCTTTCAATGCATCCATGAGTGTGATGATCTTTGCTTTTCCTAAATTAAGCAAGACATGTTCAGTTCTGGGTAAAGGATATCTATCAGGCTCTGTGTACGTGTTTAGAGCTCGAAAGTCTCCGCATAAGCGTGATTTGCCGTTATGCCAGGCTATGATGATTGGTGTGGTCACATCAACTTCTTCAGAACTCCCTACTTTCCTTATTACACCTAGTCTAAGAAGTTCGTCTATGTGTTTTTCAATTTCTACCCGATTTCTAGGACTAGACGGATAGGCAGCTTTCCTCAATATAGGAGGGTAAGGTTTTTCAATTGTAAGTTTGATGCTTACTTGATGCTTTTCAATGGTACCTAATTCTTTTACACCCAATCCATACTCATCTTTGTATTGGAGAATAAGGTTAACAAATTTATCCTTTTCATCTTTTGAAAGTTTGGGACTAAATTTTGCTTCATTGATTTTAGGCATCAAATCATCTTTCTTCTCACACAACATTTTCTCTACTTCAGGTTGTTCATTATCAAGTTCATTGATTTTCTCTTTCTTGACTTGTAAACCTGAAAGAATTGGTCTTTGAAGTGGTAAACCAAACTTCTTTTTCTTTACATCATTACCAAATGTAAAAAATTTGTCTTTGCTATGAAAGATATCAATTCCGTACATGGACAAGTGTTCATCTCCCAGTATGAAATACTTAGTGTGGGAATTTTCCATAACCACAAATTCAGCTTCTATTCGAATGCCTCCTTGTTTATGAGAAAATAAAACTTCTAGTTTTATAATTCCTAGTGGAAAAAAACTCCCACTACAACCAGAAAATTTCATGTTGTTATTGCAAGGCATTAACTTCAATATCCAGTCCGGGACCAGGTTGTTTAAGTAGTGGTTCCCCACCACAGAACAAGATGCTCCACTGTCAAGTAACAATTCTGCATCTTGACCATTCACAATGACTCGAGTCAAACTGTGAAATCCAATTGTATGTGCTTTGCCTGAAGCTGGTTTACACCTGCTCAGTTTGGCGTCTGAGATTTGTTTATTACTTTCTTCCATAGTTGTAATAATTAGCATCTCTGCTTCAGCTTGGACTCGTGATATGTCAACTTCACCATCAAAAGTACTTTCAATTGCTGCCACATTCAGGTCAGCTGAGTGCCGTGACTCTGAATCAGCTATACTACCAGCGTATTCTACAAATTCCATTGGAGCGCCTGCTTCTTCGTCATCGTAAGCTTGGTCTTCTTCATCTGCTTCAACTGCATTGATAGCTTTGCCCTTTCCTTTACACGTTCTCCAAACATGTTAAGGATCTGTGCTACCGCAGTTGTTGCAGGATCTACTGACTCTCACCTCAGAAGCAGAAGGTTGAGCTTTTGTGCTACTCACTTGTTGTTCTCTTTCATGAGTTTTTGGCTGCAAGTTCGACTTCTATGTCTGTGTCCGTCTAACAGGTGTCAAACGTTTTGCAAGATCTTCAAAAGCTAAAATGAAATCTGTCCAGTTGCTATCTGGACCAATCCTATTTTGAACTGGGATTCTGATTGTGCTGGGCAGCTGCCAAAGTACTTTTTCAGCTACTTCAGAGGAGTTTGCATGCGGTCTGAATAATCTAAACCTCTGTTGCTGTCTCATAGCCCATTTGACACAATCAGAATGGATTTCTGGCTTGAATTTATCTCTCATGAACAATCTTTCCATTGAAGATCTCCATTGAGAATTACCAAACCTGGTTTGAATAGTGTCTTTCCATTCTTCCCAGGTCTTATTATGCGCGCCATCTTCTTTCACGACGTCCATAACCCATTGACGGGCCACCCCAGTAAATACAATCAATAACTTTGATGTGATCAAGATATCTGGCATTTGTAGGCGCACTGGGACTGCGTCAACCCAATCAATGAACTCTTGGTGATTGTACTCACCTCCACCGCTGAACGTGGGATAATCCTTGACATCAGGTTATTCTTTCCTGAGTTCTTTTTTGATTGATGCTTGACAGAACAGTTCCGTGGTTGTTTCGAAATCTACCATTGAACTGTCCGGTTGCAACATAGTGCTTTGACCTACATTTTGGGGAAAGAAGGGATTGTTTCCAAGGTTAGGGGTAGTTTCCGCTCTGAACCTTCGTCAATTATCCTGCCTGTCAAGGTGAGGAGGTACACTTCTGACATTTCGAGTTGAACTGCCTTGCATCGGAGTTTGGCTAATATCTTCAAAGTTTCTCACCATTGACCCAACTCTGTTCCTAGGTAAAGTACTGCTTTGTACTGGTTCCTGAACATGTTCTATGTCTCGCTGGTTGTCATTTGTCAGCTTCAGCAACATATTTTCAATTCTTCTAATTTACTACTAGTAGAATTTTCAAACTGTGTGTGATTTTCTTTAATTTCTTCTACACTCTTAATGAGAAAATCTTGAAAATTACTACGTTGAATTTTTTCATTTTCAACTGCAAGGGTTTGGTCCTGGAGGAATTTATTGATTTCATTACTTGAACTACTATTCTGATAAAGTTTGTTTTCCAGTTTTTGAATCAATTTTTCGTGAAGATTTTCAATAAGTGTGGTCAGAACTAGATCTTTCTGGACCACACTTGGTTTCTCACTCTCACGGTTCTCACAAAACTCATTCAAAGAATTTTTAAAATCAACAAGATTTTCATTTATGTCATTCAAAGATACTACAGAAGTAGAATCTTTTTCTAAAAATTGATTCAAAGATTCTGAAGGGAAATGATTTAAAAAAGAAACAATTTTTTATCTAAACTAGAAACATCTTTATTATCTTGTTTGACAATCCTATAAAGTTCTTTGTATTGAGCATGAATAACTTCTACAAGAAGTGTTTCCTTCTTTAAGACGTCTGAAAATCTTGAATTGGAATCTGAATGAAAATCTCTAAGATTTCTATCTAAAACTTCTAAGTTACCATTGAAAACATTTAAAAATTCCTGAAACAAACAATTAAAGTCTTGAGAAACATTCATCTGTTGTTCAAAATGACCAAGATAGTTAGTTACTTCAGTCATCATTGGCAGAATAAACTCACTTGAGTGATTTCAGAGAACTTACATAAAATCATCCTGTCTTGAGTACTAAGCAAGGTTAGTTCCTTCTCCCCCGACCTCCTCGTTTTCTGAACTTTTTCAATGAATGAGAATGAGAAGTCGGCACCAATGCCCTGCCTGCTTCCACTGGAGCGCCGTAGTAAGCTTGAAAGTCCAGCTGGCTTGAGTTCGCTTGGCTGTTGTTGTAAGGCTGAGCTGAACGGTTTTGGTGTGAGTTCTGATGGGAAGTCAACGGCTGGTGAGTGGCCATCTTCAGCTGCTGAACTTCCTGTTTGGCCGCTCTCGGAGCGAAGATGTGGATTGACATCTCGCAGGGGTTCCACTTGATGGTCCCGTTGACCATCCAACCCTTAATCTGCTGAAAGAAGTCCTCCTCGCTCACCTCGTGATCCTTCTCCAAAGCCTTCCTGGCTTTCCAACCTTCCAAGACCGATTGCTTGAGGAGCATCTTCCTCTTGTTCTCGTCGCTTACCATGGTCCTTCCTCTCTCCCACTTGAGATACTGAGTCCGAAGATCCTGCCAGAGGTAGTTGTACTCGGCCAGCTCCTGTATCCAGGGAAGGGTCAGTACTTTTCTTTTTAGAAATGTCAGTCTTGATGAGCAACTTACCTCTGCCTTCACCTGTGCCATGCTTTTTGCTGGCTGTTGATCCAGCCCTGGAGACCCCTCTTGATCCTCTAGCATCGGACCCGGGCCTGCTGGTGCTGGTAGTTTGGAGGTTGCCATAACGGTTTGGCTTGGTTTGACTACGAGGGTGGGGTGGTGGATTCCAATCAGCCATTTGAATACCCGAAGATATTGAATAAGAAAGAAAAGAGAGAGAGAAAAAAAATCTTTTTAATTCTTCTTCTCAAAAAAAATGATCAAGGGAATCAGATACTCACTCTGACTTTGATCTGTAGTTGATATTATCAAGGAAGAGATATCAATATCAAACAATGTTAGCCTCTTGTATAGTCTTAAATGATCAAAGAGATTTTGATTCAAATAGACAAAAAGTGTTAGCTCACTTTCAAACCTTTCAGTAGTAAATGTGAACTGATCTGTAGTTCTCTCCTTCAGAGGACTTCACTCTAAAACAAAGTCAAAAACGCTTTTGGTTGGGCTGTTAGGTCTTTCAAAATCAAACTGATCTGCGGTTTGAAAACGTTGAGGTTGAGGTGTATCGTCAGGTGACGCTGATCAGGAGGATGGTGTGTTAGGGACTGAGCTGCTGGTGAGCTTGAAGTTGGTCGCAATTGAAAGTTTGTGTTGAGCTTGGTTGAGATAGTCTTCAAGATTTGACTCACTGAGACATGGCAGATTGTCGTAGAGATCCTCTATATTCACTACTATCAAAGAAAAAAAACCGAGAAGTAGACAGAATCAAAACAGAGACAGAAATGAATATAAGTGTTCAATTTCTGATCTTCAATGGTGAATTGATAATATGGAGGAATCTTATGATCTCACTTACTTTGAGGATCACAGGATAGATTCGATTGAACGGTGCTCCTCTTGAAAATGGATTTAGCGAAATCTATTTCAATTCGCAAGGATAAAAGCAAAAGGTATTACAACCAAGACAAATCAATCAAAAATCTCTATTAGTTTTGTTATTGATGATTCTTCATCAAAAGGAATAGATAGATAAAAAAAACTAACTGAAATGTTTTTCAGCAATAGAACCGTTAAGCAGATTCTCCGATCGATAATGCAAGTAATAGCTTCTGTACAATCTGAATTGAATGGGAAGGTTTCAAAAATAAGATCGCGGTGACGTGGTCTAATCAATTATCAATGAACAAAAGAAAATAAAAATTTAGATAATAAATAACAACTATTGGTTATTTATCTGAAACAATTACACTGGTGCTAGGAAGACTAAATTGATGCTCAAGATAAGAAATTAAAAACAACTCGCTGTTGATCTGGTATGATCAATTGGTAAGTAGTGATTGTCTTGTTTGATGAAGCTTTCTTCTGTAGCAGATCCGACTACAATTAGAACGTATCAACCTATTCAAAAGAAAAAGGTAATTCAACCCAATAAATCAATTAGTTTTCTGAAGAATTTAGTTATAGACTTGTGAATCTAAGTATCAACTCGTACTGATTGGTCTTTTTCATTCTTTGCAGGTTACTTTGCTTTGGTTATAGTCCCGGCGGCTTTGATTTGGCTTTAGTCAATATGATTGAATTGTCAACTGCGGGACAAATGGCCCTGTGTTTGTAGCGTGAAGCACACAACACGTGGGCCACTCAACTCCGACAATGACTCCGAGGCAAGGGTGAAAGGGTGTCCAGTGGTTGCTGAGATCAAAACTTTGAATTTTGGAATTTCGAAGTTCAAAGGGTATTACAGCACCGCTGTGGCTGTCGGACCATGCACGGGGCTTCTGTACGGCTACTAGGTGCAGTGACTGTACACAGTCACCTAATGTAATATATGTGTAGTTGTAACCAAAGCCACGTGTTTGGCTTGTTACACACCACAATTAAAAGAATTACAGAGACAATTCACTGTTAAATTATATGTGATAAGTTTGTATATGGATCAACTATTGATCCTCTTTCACAAAAGATAGAAAAAAATAAAAAAAATGTGAAATTGAGGGGGGCAAAGAATTTCTTTCTTTCCTCCAGGGTATTATCCTAAAATCAAAAATGCTGAGCTTTCCTCAGTTTTTGATTTTAAAGGTTGATAAACAAAATCAAATAATGAAATGATATATATATATATATATTGGCTTATTTTTAACCTTTCAAATGAGATTGAGCTATAACATGCCCAAAAAATTAATCAAAAGGTTCTGAAAACCCGGATGAGGCCCCCAAATGTGAGCCTACTAGCGTCTGTTGGGCTAGTAGATTCAATAAAAAAGAGGATAGAGGTTTAAACAAACCTCTACTAGACTTGTGGGGATTAGTATCCACGAGTTTGAGCGGGTAAAGACATGGGCGTAGGAGCTTTACTTGGAATAAACAAGTAAAGACTCCAGTTAGTTGACCTTTAAACAAAGGATTTAGCCCAGGGATTTTGGGTTAATTATTGTCCTTGCAATAATTAAAAATAAGAGCAATTGACGCGCAGTTCTCAATCCTAATTTGATCCTCTTCTTATTCAAAGAAAGGTCAAAGAAGGTGGTGTTAAAGTCTTTCATAACACCGGGAACTTTACACTCTGATTAATAGAGATTTCCCCGTAGATTAAGAGTTTCTTATATCAGATGAATCCCATATCTGATATAAGCAGCACTCAAGGACTACTTCCTTCTACGTATTTCCACCATATGGATATTACAAAAACTACTGATTAAGGAATTTAATCAGACTGAAACAAGGGTTGATGCGCACACAATCAAGTCAACAAGACACAAGGTTGAGGTTTCAAGGTTTGTAGAATCAAGCTTTTAAAGTTTGTAGATGTTAAACAAAGTTTAAAAGTTCTAGGAAGATGAAGTGAGCAATTTGTAATGGTTGTTGAATAATAATGTGATGATTCAAAACTGGTTGGATCTTCAGGGTTTATATAGTCTGAACCCTGGGAATCTTTGGACTACAAGTGCGCACAAATTGTGGTTCTAAGGTTAGGTTAATTACAGTAACACAGTTACTATTGGGTTATAAGTATATTTCACTTGTTACATAAATGCTACATCTGTGAAATATATGTAGCTTTGGTTCACATGAAAGTTGTGTACGTACACACTCTTTGATGCAAGTTTTGCACATGTTACATATGCCAAATCATATGTAACTTGACTCTTGAAACTGAGCCTTGAGTTGTAATTGTTGTTTTTAAGGTTTTTTATTATATTTGTTGCCCATTGGTACGCTGGTTTAGTACTCAGGGCTGACAGTATTCCACCCATTCTTCCTCACCCATAGCACTTCTTTTATTAAGAATTAAATTAATGCGTTGGACAATTGACTTTGAAACTTGACACGATGAACCAAATTGGGTGATTTTTGATTGTCGAGGGTTAACACGGTCACCTTTTGCACCATGAGTGGTTGATTCAGTTGTCTGGTGCTCCATGTCCGTCGCCCAGACCATCTCCACCACTCCATCACCATCTTCAAAGCTGACTTCAATATTATATTGAGGGAAAGCGAAATGACCTTCCTTAACATATCCATGTCTTGATTTGCTACCACACCTGTAAAGCTTTCCAGTCCCACGTTTAATCAAGCCAAACAATCTATATGAATAACCTGTAGCATCACAATCCTTATGAATCTTGTAATACCATTCATCACGAGTCATTACGAAGTTTCCACCAAAAGCTTGTCTGTTGGGTGAGTTGAAGAATCGATGTGATGCCCATGAGAGGCCGAGCTTAGCACAGATTTCGTAATTTGATTGCAAAGCTTCAAAGGAAAGAGATGAAAATCGGCCAGCCAGGAAATGTTGTATGTACGGCAGGTTCCGTTGTTGTCTGAGGTCCTTTTCCATGGAATGGATCAAGAGAGCAGTCTGGCAACTGAGTGCATAAGGACCTAGATATTTCTCAAATTTTCAGATGGAAACCACATAAACATACAGAGATACTTACCTTCAAAGACACCCTTCCAATATCCAGCTCTCATCCCAATTGCAAACATATCCCCTCATTTTCTTTTCCCAAGTGCAACTGTTGGTCCATTGGTTGTGATTTGGCTTCTTGCTATTCCATGGTTATAAAGGGTTGAAATAGATTGTCCAAACTGTTTGAACAGTTGCTCACTATTTTCAGTTTGTACTTTTTTACCATTGGATTGAATATATTGTTGAGTATTGAAGCGGATGACTGCAATCAATTTAGTGTTGTTCAGATTGAGGATTGCAGCAGTTCCTGTTGTTAAAGTGAGGAGTTTATTTTTAGCATGGTTGGCTTGATGAATAAAAGTGACATTGTCAGGTAGACCAAACTTCTTCTTGACTTTCTCTTTAAACTCTTTGCGCATACGAGCCCGGTTGCTAGTTGTTGATTGTATAGCACGCAACAGTCGGAGGGTCAGGTGATGGAGTGGGGAGTTGGGTTTCTTTCTCCACACTTTTAGCAATCAATCGATCCTTATGATCCTTTGAACGCTTAAGCTGGGTTGATTTGGCCCGGTATTTGGGTTTTTGCTTGGTCATACCAAAATCACCTATCAATCAAAAGAAATTCAATCAAATTCAATCAGTCAAAGCTCTTCAGACAATCACAAAACAAAGATCCATCCTTCAAAACCGTCAAGCCCTCCAAAGAAAACCTGGCATCTAGCAAAACCCCATCTATATGAATACCGCGTGCAGCGGAACCATAGTTATATAAACACAATTGAGGAGATGACCAGGTTTTGATGAAAGGTCCAATAGTTTTGAAGATTGAGGCAAGAGGCCATGCATGAAAGAATGCAACATGCATTCAATATTTTTCAAAAGAAGTGTTGAACACAGTAAAATATCCCTAGGTTACGCTCACAACAACAGTTGTGAGCTTGAGGGAATGCAGCACTTGCTCAACACTTCCAACGTGGGAGATTGAATGGACATTACATCCTTCCAAACACTTCTGGGGAAGGGAAAATATATTGCATATATGTTTTGAATGAGCTTACGGTTTTTGACAGCCTTGATGGTTGAACAGGAAGATATTAGTGATGATTTGAAATTGAATTGGTTGAAATAACGGCAATGAAAAGTTTGAATATGAAGATCGAATAAAGAGAGAGGATTTGAGGGACTCTTGGGATCGATCGGTTAGAGGAGGACTTGACCAATAGATTGATTTGCAAAAAAGATGAAGAGAGACTCCTGTGATCAATTGTTCAGAATACGACTTGACAAATAGAATTTATAAGAAAGATGAAGGGCGACTGTTGGGATTAATTGTTTAGAACAGGACTCGACCAATACAATGACTTGTAAGAAAGATAAACGGCTCTTGGGATTGATTGTTCAGAATTTGACTTGGATGACAGACTGGTTCACAAAGATTATCTCTTGAGATTGATAGTTCAAGATCAGATTTGACAGATTGATTGTAAATGAAATGTAATTCACTTACTTTGTCACCTATTAATGACCTAGAACATATTTAGAAGTGTCAAGAGATTAAAAAAGAGAAATTCAATCAGTAATAGCCAATCAATTGAAAGTAGAAATAGTCAAGCAGAGATAAAATATAAATAAATAAATTAAAAAGAACTCACGTTATTAATCAAGGATCAATCAGAAAAAAACATTAATATCAAAGTAACAAATTAAATGACAAGAATGAGAAAAGAAAGATTTAAATAGATAAAGAACTCACTTGATATTGAAGATATCGACCTGAAGAATAAAAGACAAGATCAATTGAAATAAAAAGCAATGACTATAACTTTGAGTACAATCAAGTGGTAACGCTATGGATTGGATTGGTAAAGTAGAAAATCAAATGAAACAAGTTGATCAAAGGAAAGATAAGGATGAGAGATTGATAAAGACTTGACTTTACTAAATTGATCAAGATACTTAACTAAACTTGTTGTAATCTGATTATGTATCACTGAAATTCGATTTTGATCATCAATTCACTTTATTTCCACTTGTGGTTCAAGTGAATTGATCTTGGGTGTTTTGATCATTAGTATTTTATACTTCTTTGAACGTAAAAGATTCATTTCACTGTTCACATCTTGTTCATTCTGATAAATCAACTTCAATTTGACCCCCTTCAGAACAAACCAAACTCTGAAGAAATCCCAACAATCTTAGACCCAAAAACACGTTTACAAGAAGGAAGATGTGAAGTAGGAAACCCCCAAAGATTAAAATCATACAAAATCTATTACAAACTTCAAGGAACCTCATCAATCCAAGCCAAAAACAAAATGATTTTTCTAATGGGTTTAAATAATACATTTTTTTCTTGGTCTAAACAAGTTGAACATTTTGGAAAATTAGATGATCATGTGGTTTTAGTGTTTGATAATCGAGGTGTTGGAAATAGCAAGTAAGTTATGTTTTGATTTCTTGATTTTTCAATTTGACATTCCTGTTATTGGTTTGATTTTTCTTTTGAATCCTTCTTAAAGTTTTGGACCTGAAAGATTTTTTAAAACTTCTGGAATGACTAAAGATGTGATTGATTTATTAGATTTTATTGGATGGAATCAGTCTAGATCGATTGATGTAATAGGAGTTTTGATGGGAGGTATGATTGCACAAGAATTAGTCAGTTCTCTTATCTAAAATCACTTCTTGGTTTGAATCTCAATTTAAAGCTAAACCGATTTGAACTTTTTCAATGTCAACCGTCAATAGTGTTTACTGATTCCTCAAAGAATTGTTTCAGTGGTCTTTACAAGTACTCAAGCAGGTGAATCAACTAGATTACCACCTGTGAGTTAAAATATGAATATCTCTTTCTTTACCATCCGATTTAATCAAATCATTGATCTTCTCATCATCAAATGAAGCTAAATAAAAATTCCTTGACTCTATACTCTTGTTTCATGAATCCTGTGAGCTACTAGCGTCTTTCAGGCTAGTAAGTCACTAAAGAAAAGGACAAGAACAATAAACTGAGTTTATTATGAGCGCGAGAAACTTATTTGAATCTTTCAAATAAGGTTGTAAAAGAAGCAGTGGGATCAAATCCGTACTGACTTCAGTTAGATGACCTCTCAACAGAGGATTTTGGATACAATTCCAGGGATTAAGGCAAGACAAGAGTCTTCTGGCCGGATAAGATTAGACAACTGGCACCCAGTGTCGTGCCCAAGATAACTACACTCTACTCTAGAGTCGTTAAGCAAGGGAAATATCACCTAGTGATGTTTTGAAGTACTTTAGACTCTGAACACAGAGGAACTCCCGTGAGTTTAAAGTTTCTCAAGTTGTTGAATCCCTTTAACAACTTGAGCAATACTTCTAGGATCACCTCCTGACAGAAATAAGAAGTCTTCAAAAGACCTTCCACAAATAACAAAAGCAATGATCAACTAGAGAAATATACAATGTCTAATAAATGAGGGCGAGGACTCTTATTTATCTGATTGAAGTGGTTTACTGATAATTTGATGGTATGTAATGATGATGATGGACTTTCCTGGCGGGTGGGAGAGCTCTTTATATACTCACAACCCAGAAAAATCCCTTACGCACAACTTGTGGTTGGATTACATACTCCTTTGTGGTGTGTAATCATATTTTAATTATTTAATTATTACATTTATTACACACATGCGTAACTCTTGTGTTACTCATGTGATGAGCCTTGTGAAAGGTTATATTACTTTGTGTAATCTCTCGTATTGATCTACATGTACTTACATATGTCATTACATATGTAACTATATGTAATTTCATATGTAATTGGCTCTTGAAACTGAGCCATGAGTTGTAAGTATTGTTTTTATTATTTTATTATTATATTTCAGCCCTTTGGGACTAGCTATAGGGCTCGGGGCTGACAAATCCTATAAACAATTCTTTCAGTTAAGTACAACCTTTGGAATCCTACAAATGTTACTCAGTGGAGGTACACCAGAAGACCGAATTGCCAGGCTAGTGACCAAACGTTTCCCAGCGGTTTGGCTCAATTCAACTGCTTCACATGGAAGTGGAAAAACAAATCGAGAAATCAAACAAGAAGAGTTAGTTTCCTATTATTACAAACAATGTGAATAACCAACAGCCGGGATCATTGGTCAATTATCTGCAGCTGCCACTCATTTATGTACACCTGAAGTTCTTGGTTGACTTGCAAAATTCTGGCACCGGGTAAATTGGTTGTCTTATCTGGTGCATTAGACCAGGTTATAGATGTTAGTAAAGGTATCACACTACGTGAAAATCTTCCTGGTTCTTAATTGGTTGTGTTCAAGGATGGAGGTCATGCTCTTTGTTCACAAGTTCCTGAACGCCATGATGCTTTGTTTGAATGTGTGATGCGTGAAGGATTTGAAGCCGTTTCATCATCCTCATAATCTCATCTGCATATTATGTGTCCCTTTTTTTGTTGAATATATCACATGGTAACCCATGGTTCATATGTATTGCATAGGTGTTGAAAGAAGTTACATGTATTCTCATCTGGCCTTGATCTTACTCTGATGGAAAGCAAGCTGATATCTCTTTTTCAAATTGATGTCATTGAAAAGTGACTGTTGTTTTGAGATGACCTTCTCTTATGAAATAAACAAGCATTCCCCTTTCCTTGGTTCAATGGCTTATCAAGTCATGCAGACTTCTGAGAGGTCATCAGGACAATGGTGAAAAACAAGAAGTTGTTCTGTTTGTTTGTCTATGTAAGGAAGGGGTTGGTAAGTTTTTCCTATACGCGACTTCAAGATTGTTTTTATTTATAGGATGAAAGTGTGAACATTTATACAAAAGTTTGAAATCAAGAAGAAAAATGGAGAACCATCTAAATGATCAAAAGTATTACACCAACATTTTCTTGATTTTGTACCTTCTTTTAATACAGGATGTCGTTATGCCAATTCTTGTATATAAGTACGTGTCTGTATATTTTGCAGAATTGTTAACCACTTCATTGAACCGCACAAATAAAGGCTACTGATGGGTGACCACAAAAGAGAAAATAACAAAAAGATCTGAGTGTGCAAGAAAGTCTTGCAGGAACAAAAAAAACAGTACAATTGAAAGGATCAGACATGAAGGATTGAATCCAGGATGATTTTGATCAATCTATCTTCAATGCCATTGTGTTATCAACCAACTGCTTAAAAACCATGATGTATGTAGCTCTCGCTAGTTATGCATCAATACTGGAGGGTCTCTGTGTAAAACGGGAGTCGCATGTGATGCTGGAGGACCTGCATGTAAGGTTTCATCTGTTCAAAAAGAGGCCCTGGTGATTAGCAATTATGGTTCAAGTCATCAAGAAATAGTTTGGAGGTTTACCTAACCACACCCTTATGTTGTTCTCGTGGCTGAACGCTGGCACTAAATTGGTTGAATCCATTTCTGGAGTTGATAAGATGTCAAGTTCTGGGTTGAAATTGATGAAACCATTGATGGGCTCAACATCCACGTGATGATTTGTACAGACAGAGAAACCATCTTTTCCAGCGGTAATATCTTCCCTGCGGGATTCCTTCTTACTTTTGGACGGGTGTTTCTTGCTTTTGGGCCTTTGGCTATAACAGATGGGGCAGATTTGCGGATGCGCTTGGGGGTTTGAGTGGCCTTATTGATGTCATTGGTAGTTACTGATGCCTTGGTGGCAGAGGAGGAATCATTTTTGGTGGTGTTGATTGCGTGTAGTTGGTCAACTTTGTCATCATCCAGAACATGATCACAAGATTGTTTAGCCTGGCCACCTAATCTACGATCAATCAATTCCGGATTGCCTTCCACCTCCCAGAGCCAGTCTTTTTGATCCTTATTGATCAGAGCTGATCCTTTGATGTGGTCCATGAAGTCATTGAAACAAATAGCCTTAGCAAGGAGTGTACCACATGGCTTATTTGAGTTCATTTTGGATGCATCTTGGTTTGAACTGAGGTCGCGGCAAACATTCTCAATGAATTGATCTCAAGCGGTTGAGGTTTGGGGTTTCTAGTTTCATAGCAGTCATTCAGTTAAATCAGACATTCATTTTGATTTGATAAAAGATTGTGTTACTGACTTGGGTTTTTTTGTGATTCATGTTGAATTTTGTCTTACAGAGCTATATGGACAATGAAATTGAAAGAGGAAAATGATGAGATATTGTGTGCCGGGTTTGAGAGAATTGATACCAATGCCCTCCCCTTAAATATGAACACATTGGTCACAAGTGGGCCAATTTTTTTCCACCGCCGCTTTGATGAAGAACACTACTTCATCAAGTATCTGCCACGCCGTATACCTCTCCACCATTGTCAAACAGGCCCTGCCAGTGCCATGGCTATTTTTCTTAAACCTCAGGATCAATTAAACCCCACTTGGCTGTGTTCTGCAACGCTGAGTATCAATTGGTCCCTGCCATGGCTATGACTACACCTGAGTTGTATCCTAGCATAGATGATTAAAGACCTGGCTAATTAGCTTGGTTCATCATCCTTCACACGTCCAATTTTTTCAGGATATCAAAATCCTCCTAAATCACATTGATTCCTGGCTTCAGGATGCACATTTGCCATTCTTGAAACCCTGAGAATTTTACTTCTGGAAGATTGAAATTGATTTGTTTGGTTGTGGGTATTGTATTTCAGTTGTCAGGGGGCATTAATGGCGTGTGAGGCTTTTTCTCATTGAGAACTCATACCAATAAGGCTACAATGTAATTCAGGTTGATGCATATTAACACTACGCCAAATTGCAAATTTACCATGGAGTTTAGAAAATTGAGTAGACATAGAAAATTATAGAGAAGCTGGCAAGGTTCAGAAAAATATGAAAAAATAATGGGAGGGCCCTTTGATGCATTCCGATTGTCTGGCATATTTTTTCATATTTTTAAAACCACAATGCATATAACACTACACAAAATATAATATCTTCTGGGCAGAAAATATAAAAACCAACAAACAGAGATATTGAGCAGTCTTGAAGAGAGACAAAAATACACAAAAATATGCATATTGTTCCTATGGCTGAGACCTTTGATTTGAGTATTTTTTTGTATTTTTAGTGTGAAAATTGTTGATTGTACTAACAAAAAACCTCCAGGATTGTCAGATTACAACCTGTAACAGAGATTGGAGGGCATAATTTGAGTTCAACAATCCCTTATATCTTTGTCAATTCTCGATCAAACCACTTAATTTTTTGTTCATTGGAACGCCAAAGTCTGTTACTATATCTTTCATCAAGACAGAAAACTTGCATCTAATTCCAAAGAATATCTACGTGGAAATATAGGAAATTGTTTCAAAGACAAATA